TCAATAATTCCTTAATATTGATTTAAAACATACTGGTTCCACTGGCAGATTATTTCACTTTAACAGCATTTTTTCCATGTTATGAGTGAAATAATCTGCTGGTGGATCTAGAACGTTTTCATCAATATTAAATAATTATTGACTTAAAACAAGCTCAATCACGTTTCTATCATGTTATTGATTGATATTGATTGATTGTTATCCTCTATTTGCTCTGCAAGTAGACAAAAAATACTGGGTAAGAGTTTGAGCTTTTGTTGTGAAAATACTGATGGGTAAAAAGTTATCAAGCTGCGATTTGGCAGATTAAAGACAAAAGACGTCAGATTTGGCTAAATCGATGTTAAAAATATCATTGTGTGTTTTTAGATGTTTATCAAACGGAAGTGGGAAAACGGCCTGTAGAAGCTCTAACCTGTCTGGCGCGTTGAACTTGTGCTTCCATGTTCTCAGCATTTACCCAGGCCGAGGACAGCAGAAGCTCCAAATCAGGCTCCAGAATCAGATGGTTGAGATTCAGCAGCACCTTTAGACAGCGGTACCACGACGGTACGCTGACATTCAAAACAACAACAGCAGTTAACCTGACATAAACATGAAAACTAAAGATGCTCAAAGTAAACCTTAATCAGAAAATCCTTATCTGCCGAGTTTATATTTTCGTCTGCGTCATCTGCTGAGTGTTTTTTTCCAACAGATTCAGTTCTTTTCACTTTCATCCTGTTTTAATGTCTCTTCCTGTCTGGACTCCTTCCTGCTTCAGGTCTCAAGGAGAGTGACTCTTTGTTCTCGTTAACAAATTGAAGGTAAACGGGCAAGTTTATGCTGTTACACACTGTCTCGCCAAAATAAAACTCCACCACAAAGTACAAATAATTAGACCTGCTGCAATAAACAACAAATCAATTAATTGTATGATAAATTAAAAATAGCTCAATAATTTTTCTGATTTGCTGTTTTTCTCTTTTCTCTCTTTCTACCAGAAATTAGATGACAAAAGTCTTGAGTCTGGACCTTTTGAAGGACATTTATGTTTAGTGTAAGCAATAAAAACAAAAACATTATCAGTAAAAAAAATATTTTCCCTTGCACCTAAAAAATTGTTTCAAAACATTTTATTTTTCTGTACAAAATTCCTCCGAGGGCCAAACAAGACCATTCACAGGGCCTTAAATCGCCCCCATACCACCCTTTGTACATCCCTGGATTAAGTGAATAAATTCAATTTTTCCCCATTAGTCATCAGAATAAGCAATAAATGAATCAATCACTAAAATAATCATTAGTTGGAGCCGAACAAAGAAATGAAAAAACCACAACAACTTCATAAACTATTAAAATGAGATGTTACCTCGGCTGAGCTTCATTCAGGAGTGTTTGGGCCACGGTTCTGTAGAACCTGAGCTGGACTTCCCCATGTCGTATTCTGTCTGCAGCTATGTTGTAGATGTCTGCGGACAGAGCCTGGCTCAGCAGCGACTCGACGGCCTGCAGGGCCTGGCTCCAGCTCTGTGGGGAACCTGGAGGACGTTTCTGCTCAGCGGAGCCTCCATGCAGCTGAAGATCTAACATCGGGACCAGTCTCGCTAAAAAACAGAAACACAACGTCCTCCGCTCCTCGTCGCTTTCTCCTTTTCCTTTCCCATAGCTTTCCAGAAAGAACCTGAACATCAGCGACGAGGCGTCGGACTTCACCGAGTAGCGCAGCGTCGGCTCGCAGTAATCTTGAGCCTCCAGTTTGGAAAGCAAAGTGCCGACGGGCCTAAGAGGAGCCTTCATCGCACGTTTCCCAGAATCCTCTTTGGCTGGGAGGAGCTCTGCCTTGTAGGACGCCATTTGCTCGGAGGGGAACAGAGCCAACTGAAGGATGGAGTCAATCCTGAGACGGATATCTTTGCGCTGCTGCTGCCGGACATGAAGGTGTATGTAAGGAGAAAAGTCCTGAGAAGTCAGCAAGAATCTGAGCAAAACCAACGGTTGGACCAGCTGGTTGGTGACCAGAGTGAAGACTCTGTTCGGGTTGGCTTGTTTTCGCTGCACTGATAAATAACAAACCAGCACCTGAAGCAAGACTTCAAACACATTAGAAGAGGGTTTATCTTTCTTAGTCTCATCAGTGATCATCAGATAGGTGTCTGGTTCCACCAGCTCAGTGTCAGCATCTTTCTGACGTTCTGTGTGTGTCTGAATCTCATGGCAGGCCAACAGGCAGCACTTGGCCAGCAGGCTGACCATCAGTTCATACTTTGTGGTAAATACGGCCGAAAGGGCAGAAGAAGACAGAATCCCCCGACACACGCTCAATACGGTGGGCAGAAACACCGGTGGGCGGCCGTGTGTGCAGTCCTGCAGGAGGTCGAGCAGCAGCTAAAGGAAACAGAGAAAAGCTTAGCATTAAAGCTCCAATATGTAACTTTTATTAAAAAGATTTTTACATATTTGTTGGAACTGTAACTATGTCATGATAATCTATGAAAAAAAAAATACTTGTGCTTCTCTGTCTTCTCCCAGTGCTAACTAGACACAACCAATCAGAGCCAGGAGGCGGGTCCTAGCGCTGTCAATCATGTCCATGAATGTTGTGAAAGCTAAAGTCAGTTAGCCACCAATAAAGGCAAATAAACTGTTTTCCTTTAACAGTGAGTTGTTTCGCCACCATTAGAACATTTAGCAGCACATTTATGAGTTTGATTGACAGCACTAAGACCCTCCTCCTGGTTTTGATTGGTTGTTTTTGACCAGGAGTGGTGCATTTCTTCACACAACTATGGTAGCTCAGGGAGGAGGTGAAGGAGATCGATCTTTTCACAGTCACACATAACATACCGTCACAACATAGTGAAAGTTAATAAACACGTATGTTTTATAAATATAACAGATTTATAAACGTTTTGATGCTCTAATGCATCAAAATTCAAATGTAAATTGCTAAACGCTAACAGTGAATGCAGTAAGCCGTGGTGTTTGAACTGAACCGCTTACACACCTGCGCCATGCTGAGCCTCAGAGTTACTGCCTTCCCCTCCTTGATGAAGGAATGCAGCTTCCTGCTGTGAACCACTTCATCCAAGTAGCACCACAAGCCTTCCAGGACGTCCTGGGAGAGCTCCACCTTCTTACTGTGCCAGATTGTCAGGGCGTGGGTGCACCAGTCCAACAAAACCTGCACGCAAAACAAGTCCAGAAGAAGAAACATGAGAAAACATGAGAATATTGTGGATGTTAGCGCTAGTTAGCTCATGATCTAAGCTAATGCTACATCCTGGAGGATACATACTATATTCAGACATATGAATATTAAGAAATTAAGAGTTTAATCAGGGTTCATAAGCTTTTCCCACAGTTTAAATTCAAATATTTTCAAGGTAAGTTCTCACACTTTGTAGATAAAAACAATACAAATTATTTAAAAAGTGTTTATTTTCACTATTATGATATTTATTACTGTTATTAATAATTTTATGGTTGCAGTCTATGTTCTTCAACTGGTTAAAAATTACCACTTTGATTCAACTGTAAATAACATTTTCAAATTTAGACTTTTAAGCAAATGGTAGATTGCACTTTATTGAAAAACTGTGCATTATCAAGAAATCAAGCACTGAATTGAAATCATTTTCAAGATTTATGTATGTTTACATAAAACTAATGACATTTTTTTAAATCCAAAATTTTTATATTCTGACTTTTTGATTGTGACTGATTGAACTGTGTCCCTGTGAACATTCATGTGTTCATACCTGCTCTTTGTTGGGCAGCAGACACTGGGAGGAGATCCACGCAAACCGGGCCAGCTTCAGCCTGTCCTCCCACGGAGTCTGTGAACTCTTCAGCTTCAGGTGGATGCCTGAGTAAATGGCAGCCATGGCTGCAGCTGGACACAACAGAGACAGGTCACCAATAGGCCAAAAGGTATGAAAATAAAGTGCATAAAACTGACACTAAAATCCTCAGAGAATCTTGTAAGACATTTAATACGTAAACATAAACGATAATGGACATGAAAATATTTTGTATGAAGAGAAAAAATACATCTTAAGAGTCAGTATTTAAGCTCACTCGCTGCCTTTAAGTGAAAAATATAAAACCTCTCTCGATAGATATTCACTATTTTTATTTAACTTTTTTTTTATTGCCGTCTAAAAACAGATCCTCACAGCAGAGTTCAGTACCTGCACGTGTCTCCCGTCTGTTCCGGTTTCCCAACGAGACAGACCCAACGAGTCGAGAGTCGAGGTACTCGACCGGACAAGATTTAATCGGAAATAGTGAACATTAATAACGTGCACAGTGAAAAAAAAAAAACGAAATCAAAATGAACATTAATCGCTGCCAATTTTTTTGACGAATTCTGCATATTATTTGCTGACTAAAATTTAAGACATTTTCACGGCTTGTTAACAGGCTGACAAAAATTTATATTTATTTTTTATGTATTGTGTTATTCAAATTTTCATGTAACATGTCATTATTATTATTATTATTATTATTATTATTATTATTATTATTATTATTATTATTATTATTATTATTATTATTATTATTATTATGTGTTGGGCATCCAGAAAGTTGTTGAAATAAGAGATCCGTACTCTTCCTCTATATTACAATGAGCAATTAGCTTAGGACCAAGGTTAACATGCACCATCAAAAAAAAGAAAATTAATAATAATAATAATAATAATAATAATAATAATAATAATAATAATAATAATAATAATAATAATAATAATAAATATGTTTATTCTTCATTTTATGAAGTTAGTCAAAGTGGGTAATAGTGGTCAGAACTTTTACTCAGATAGTAGTACTTCGTCATAATAATTTTACTCAAGTAAAAGTAAATCTACTTGTGAAACTGATGCTAAGAGTAAAGTGTTCCCTCATCCGCGCTCTGGCTCCCATAACACTCCAGCCCAGTTGATGGCGGTAATGCGCACTGAAACGTTGCTTAGCAACCGCTATTTAACAAAAAGAATGAGAAGAACCGCGTTGTGTTCGAGCTTCTTCGCTCTGGGTTCGTTTCGTTCTGCCTAGGAAAGTTTTCTTACATCATCATCCTCACCGAGGCGGATGTACCAAGAGTTTCTGTAAACTGCGAGCCGAAGAGGGTCACCTTTAATGTTTGCGTGACTCCAGCTCCTTCCAGGTGGATTTAGCTTGAATTTGGTGGGGGTGTTCCGGCGGTTGTTTGCGCTCCAGGCGGCCGGGCCTTCGGCCCAGATGATAGTGACGGGCAGCAGCGGGGTGTTGGGAGCTGGTCAGCGATAAGAGATAAACTGGGTGAAAGGCGGCTGTCAGTGGCTGATAAAGCCTACAGTAACGGTCCAGAAGACCCCGCAATGTAGCGCCGACAAGCGTCATAGCCGAGGATATGGAGTGCTGAGGGACTCTGCTTGGACTGGACCGAATCAGTCAGTCAGCGGTTCTGAATGAGACATCGATATTATCACTTGATTTGCTGAATCAAATCGGGGACAATGAGGCTTTTAATTCGCATGAACAGGATGCACTTCAATAAACTAAAGCTGGCGCAGTCCAGGTTGCTGTGCCTGGAGCACCGGGCCCTCCTCTCAGCCGCCCACCGGAGGAGGAGGCTGTCCGCCGGCCTGAAGCCCTCCGCGTGTCCGCCACCCAGCCACGTCCTCTCCGTCTCGTCCTGCAGCGCGTTGACCGGCGGACTCTCTTCGCTCCGTGGACGGACTGTCGCTCACACACCTGCTGCTTTCGCCAGCTCGTCGGCGGCCTCCACACCTGCTGGGTCCGCCGAGAGCCAGCGGGCCGCCGTCCCTATGGATGATGTGAAACGGGTTCTGGGTCTCGCTCAGCCGGAGAGATGGAGACTAGCAGGTAACCTGCAGATAACAGGCTCCATAGATTCATCACTTCATACTAAAAGCAGCATATTAGTTACTATTACAGTGATTTGAGGGATTCTCAACTCACCTGGGCTGGAGACTGATTTGGTGCCCTATTCACTAAAGACAAATATATTGAACTAATGGAAACTACAGTGCATTAACGTGTAAAAATTAATAAGAACTACTTTTGGTCGGTTTAAAACATCCCTTGGCCAGGAGCTCCATGTTATTCCCCCAAAAATGCTATACATTCATAATTTTCAAATCCTTGAGTACTATTTATATTCATAAACATCCCAAAATATTATTACAACTCGTCTGATAAAGGCCTCTGACACTTATATCAAGAACAATGTCTGGGGAAAAAATGCATTTATAAAAAAATTTAAAAATCTCCCGGTCTCCCCTTTGAAAAAGCCATTTCTAAAGTTTGGCCCAGGTGACTTGCTACATTTTGCACATGAAGTAATTAATATCTTACTGAACGTTATAGCTTTGAAGTGTTGTCCACATACATTTTCACCATAAAATATTACTGGTTAAACTTTAAAAAATATGTACAGTTAGGGCCAGAAATATTTGGACAGTGACACAGGTTTTGTTATTTTAGCTGTTGACAAAAATATGTTCAGAAATACAATTTATATATAATATGGGCTGAAAGTGCACACTCCCAGCTGCAATATGAGAGTTTCCACATCCAAATCAGAGAAAGGATTTAGGAATCATAGCTCTGTAATGCATAGCCTCCTCTTTTTCAAGGGACCAAAAGTAATTGGACAATGGACTCTAAAGGCTGCAAGTAACTCAAAAGGCCTTTCCCTCGTTAACCTGTAATCAAGTAAGTAGTTAAAAGGTCTGGGGTTGTTTCCAGGTGTGTGGTTTTGCATTTGGAAGCTGTTGCTGTGACCAGACAACATGCGGTCAAAGGAGCTCTCAATTGAGGTGAAGCAGAACATCCTGAGGCTGAAAAAAAAGAAAAAATCCATCACAGAGATGGCAGACATGCTTGGAGTAGCAAAATCAACAGTCTGGTACATTCTGAGGAAAAAGGAATTGACTGGTGAGCTTGGGAACTCAAAAAGGCCTGGGCGGCCACGGAAGACAACGGTGGTGGATGATCGCCGCATACTTTCTTTGGTGAAGAAGAACCCGTTCACAACATCAACTGAGGTCCAGAACACTCTCAGAGAAGTAGGTGTATCTGTCTCTAAGTCAACAGTAAAGAGAAGACTCCATGAAAGCAAATACAAAGGGTTCACATGTAGATGCAAACCATTCATCAATTCCAAAAATAGACAGGCCAGAGTTAAATTTGCCCAAAATCACCTCAAGAAGCCAGCCCAGTTCTGGAAAAGTATTCTATGGACAGATGAGACAAAGATCAACCTGTACCAGAATGATGGGAAGAAAAAAGTTTGGAGAAGAAAGGGAACGGCACATGATCCAAGGCACACCACATCCTCTGTAAAACATGGTGGAGGCAACGTCATGGCATGGGCATGCATGGCTTTCAATGGCACTGGGTCACTTGTGTTTATTGATGACATAACAGCAGACAAGAGTAGCCGGATGAATTCTGAAGTGTACCGGGAAATACTGTCAGCCCAGATTCAGCCAAATGCTGCAAAGTTGATTGGACGGCGCTTCACAGTACAGATGGATAATGACCCCAAGCATACAGCCAAAGCTACCCAGGAGTTCATGAGAGCAAAAAGGTGGAATATTCTGCAATGGCCAAGTCAATCACCAGATCTTAACCCAATTGAGCATGCATTTCACTTGCTCAAATCCAGACTTCAGACGGAAAGACCCACTAACAAGCAAGACCTGAAGGCTGCGGCTGTAAAGGCCTGGCAAAGCATTAAGAAGGAGGAAACCCAGCGTTTGGTGATGTCCATGGGTTCCAGACTTAAGGCAGTGATTGCCTCCAAAGGATTCGCAACAAAATATTGAGAAAAAACTTTTTTGTTTGGGTTATGTTTATATGTCCAATTACTTTTGAGCTCCTAAAATGTGGAGTGTTTGTAAACAAATGTGTACAATTCCTACATTTTCTATCACATATTTTTGTTCAACCCTTTAAATTAAACGTTACAATCTGCACTTGAATTCTGTTGTAGCGGTTTCATTTCAAATCCAATGCGGTGGCATGCAGAGCCCAACTCACAAATATTGTGTTACTGTCCAAATATTTCTGGCCCTAACTGTAGCTGTATGTTATTAAAGCTAAAGTTGAATCAGTAATACTTTTATAACAAATTTATGTCAGATCATGATTTCTTGGTTAATGTCAAGTTGTCATAACAATTTGAATAATGTCAACTTTGTATTAAAAGTGTCTTTAGTTATCAAATGAAACTTTATGACAACAGTAATAAATATCCATGAAGATTTACTCATGTTTATGACAGTGTCATGACCTATGTCTTATTTACAACCTGTGTAATAATGTGTTACCCTGGTTTCCTATATAATGTGTCGGCCTGTGGTAGAGGTTAGCAGAAGACCTTTAGCACTGCTCGACCCTCATCTTGCTGAAAAAAATTTTGTTTCTCTGTGTTGAGAGAAACAACACAGGAGGCTGGCATTTTTGTTTCAGGAAGCCCTTAAGTCCTGTAACTTCTACAAAGTTCATCAATTTGTGTAATTTTCAGCAGTTATTTCTGTACATTTTGGATGCTCCGTTGCCCAAACGCATCGAAACTGTAACCTGTGTTCACTGCTTGGTGATCATTCCCTGAAAAAAACATGAGACTGCTTAGTTTTTAATCCAGATTTCTTCCTGCATGTTTTTGGCTTCTTGCTCCTCCAGCCGGCGTTGGCTTCCTCACCGTCTCCAGCGCCGTGACCATGTCGGCTCCCTTCTTCCTGGGCCGAGTCATAGACACCATCTACACGTCCAGCGCAGACACGGAGACGATGACGGCCTCTCTGACGTCCCTCTGCCTCATGCTGACCGGGGTTTTCCTGTGCGGCGGCGCGGCGAACGCTGCCAGAGTTTACCTCATGGAAGCGTCAGGTGAGTCAATTTAATGAAGGAGTCGCTTGAAGACGTCGGTCATTACTTAGAAACAGACAAATCTCTTACGTACACAGCATTGTTTTACATCGAGCAAGGCTGAAACAATTAGTCGGATTAATTGATTATTGAAATAACTAAAGTTAACTAAAGAACAACGCACTCCGAGCAGTAATTAAAACGAAACTGAATGAAAAATAAATACATTTTGTGTTTAAAAACTAAACACTTGTGTCTGTAAATATGTTCAAATCCTCAAGTGGCAGTTTGAGCTTCACTTGGTTCAACTTATGTAGACAAAATCTCCTGCTGGCATCCTTTTTTGTCCAATTATTAATCAGTTAATCCAAATAATATCAATAGATGAGCTGATTCTGTACTGTTAAGTCGAGCAGGCAGAGATCAGTTTTTCCCTTGTTGATGTTAATGAATCCATTGCTACAAATAATAACCGTCTCCAGCGGTTCACTAAAGGAATTATATTCTATTTCATTTTAGGCAGTGTGGTGTTTATTTGCATTTTTAAAATTAATTGTATTATCAGTTTATTTTAATGTATTTCTAATATCGTATAAAATAATGCTCAAATTGAAAACCTGCAGTTTTTAAAAAAATCTGTTTTATTAATAAATTGTCTAAATAATGTTTCCTGTCCTCTCACGCCAGGCCAGCAGATAGTCCGTAATCTCCGAGCAGCGGTTTTCTCTGCCGTCCTCAGGCAGGAAGTGGGTTTTTTTGACAAGAACAGGACTGGCGAGCTCATCAACAGGTTGTCGTCTGACACGTCAGTGGTGGGAAATTCCATCACAGACAACCTGTCAGACGGGCTGAGAGCCGTCGCTCAGGCAGCGGGCGGCGTCAGCATGATGGTAAGTCCCGTCTCAATCTGAACAAACAGGCTGCAGCCACTTCGGGGCAGGAAAGAGAGCAGTTTTAAGAATCTGAAAGAAAGATGTTAATGCCACCGAATGTTAAAAAAATTTTAAAGCGGGGGACCAATAATCCAAAATTTATACTTTTTTGTATGTCCACTTTGGTCTCAACTTATTTTAAAAACCCAAGCACTTAAAAATAATCACCAGCCAATTTTTGACAGTAAGTTCATGTTTTTTAGTGTCTGGAAAATGAGCTGTTCTGAAACCTCCGGATTGTTGAGTCAAATTCAACGGGCACCGTGCCGTTACCCAGCAACCCCGATTAAGCCTAGCCCGTTACCTAGCAACCCAAGCCAAGTTCCAACACGTTTGGTCAGCTGGTTTTAGACTTATGATCCAGGAACTACTTACTGGATTCTGGTTCATTGTGCAGGATGCTCCACTTCTGCTTTTCCCCGGTATAGTATAAGCCTGGCAGGTCGCCAGACCTCAAAATCAACAGAACTGACTGAAATTTCTTCATGTGAGAATGATTTTGTAATGAACATGTTTTGTGTGGCCTGTAGACGTTTCCTAACCTGACCTGTTCAAGGAGGCACGGTAGAGACACTTACCTTGGTGATACTTTGGACGGTATTTTGTGTAAACATCCCACATGTTCAGGTTGTGGTCATTCTGCTAATAGCAGCAAACTTAGCAAACTGAGCGTATTAATCGCTCCGTACTTGGAATAGTTTTCATTGTCTTGTCCTCTTCATTATGTCCTTCCTGAATAAGTGAAGTGAGTTTCAGAAAAGTGACTAAAAAAGGAAAGCTAATTATACCTAAAAGGAAATGGATCGTTTCTGGTTATTTTCTTTTGCTACCTGCTCTGCCTGCTTTATATTTCTTAGATTTCTTTAACTCATTCCTTTAAAAACTTGTTCTATTTCATTAAATTATTTGCTTTCTCTTTTTTCACCTAAAAGAAAGTAAGTCAGAAAATACAAGGTTTGCTCTCATGTTTTTCAATAACGAGGAAGTGAAAGGATTCCCTGAAACTACTTATCAGTCCCTGCAGTCAGAATGAGGAGATCACTGATCTTTTTATTATTATTAGACTGCAAGCTTTTGACATTCACAACACACCAACAGCTCTGTTGCTTCAATCCAGTTCAGTTTAATTATATCCCACCAATTAACAAATTTTCATAGATCGACTCAATTTGACTGGCATTATAATATGAATATGTTGTTGGACTTATTTACACCTCTGAATCACGAGGAGTCGCTGGTCTGGTTTAGTTGAGAAAGTTTCTGATTATTTCTTTGAGAAAGTTAAGCCCTGTTTGTGAGGACAAATGCATTTTAATGATCAGTTTATTGCATTTAGCAAGTCTGAAAGAAACTAGTTTGGATTCGGCACTGAAATCGACTCAATTTGAAGAAATATACAATATCTACAGAATCTATCTTTGTGTGTCCCTTATAAAAATCTTACCACAATATGCCTTTAATTAGTCTCTTGATGTCTTTATACTGCTGTTTTTGTTTGTTTTTCCATTAATTCCATCTTTATCATTGTTTTCTTCCAGTTCTATGTGTCTCCCAGTCTTGCGAGTTTCGTTTTGATGATTGTTCCTCCCATCACCATTCTTGCTATCATCTATGGTCGATACCTTCGCTCCATCTCCAAACGAACACAAGACGCACTTGCACAAGCGACACAGGTACGCAGGCTGGCAGCAGAAGGTGGTTTCAGGTTGTTTCTTTTTACTTTATGCTGATTTGTTTTTATGCTCAGTGTTACGTTTTTCTTCTCTTATTTTAACATGACCCTTTTCAAACCAGTGTTTGCTCAGCCCTCAGTTTGTATCGATGTGATTTAAAACCCGCTCTGCTTGTTGTAACTTAATTAAAACTGGAGATAAAGTTTAATAAGCCCTAATAAATCCGTGCCTGCAGCTGGCGGAGGAGCGGATCAGCAACATTCGGACGGTTCGGGCCTTTGGCAAGGAGCTGTCAGAGGTCGACAAGTACACACAGAAGACGGACTTCGTCCTGAGCCTGGCCAAGAAGGAGGCCTTCATCCGAGCCGGGTTCTTTGGAGTGGTAAGTGTGGCAACAGTCGTGACGCAAATCCACAGTTACAACAGGAGGTATTACCAAAGGATTCTGCTCTGTTTTTACAACACTGAACCACTGAATAGTACTCTTCTATTACAGGAGTATTGTAAAGTAAATTTCTAATTTTGTACATTTTCATACTTCCATTTGAGTTTCTACTGCTTCTATAAGTAAACCAAGAACTTAAAAAAACAACAACATCCAGCCGCTTTTTGGCAGGTTCATTTTTTGGTGTCTGGAAAATGAGCCGTTTTTGAAACGTCCTCATTGTTGAGTCATGTTCAACCTAGCAACCCCGGCTGACCAGTGTTTCCCAACCCTGGTTCTCAAGGCTCACCGCCCTGCATGTTTTAGGTATTTCCTTGCTTCAGCTGATTTCAATTGATGACTGACTAACAGGCGTTTGCTGAACTGCAATCAGTTGAATCAGACACATGAAAGCAGGGAAACCTCTACAACATGTAGGACAGTGAGCCTTGAGGACCAGGATTAGACAACAACCAATTCTCCAGCTGGATTTTATCTCAAGCTGTGTGTTTTTTTTTGGTTTGTAATTTTTATTAGTCGGTCGTATCAAGGGGAAGTTTTGTCATGGAGACTTTTAGCAAGTTCTCTTTGTGTAATCACTGTCAGTTGCACCAGATATGCTGCTGTCATTAAGTGAACCGATGAATGTGTTTATGTCCCAGACTGGTCTGAGCGGTAACCTCATGATCCTGTCGGTGCTCTACAAAGGAGGCCTCCTGACGGCCAGTCAGCACATGACGGTGGGGGAGCTCTCCTCCTTCCTCATGTACACCTTCTGGGTGGGCATCAGCATCGCAGGTAACTCCATGACTGCTCTCTGATGCAGCATGTGTGACACACAGGGTTCGCGACTGACGGGGTGTGTGTGCGTGTGCAGGTCTAAGTTCGTTCTATTCAGAGCTGATGAAAGGTTTTGGAGCCGGAGCCAGACTCTGGGAGCTGCTGGACAGGAAGCCTGAGTTTCCTCTAAATGGTTCGTAAACACAGATTGTTCTTCTCTTATCCGTTAGCAGAGGCGGGCAGAGTAGCCAAGAAACAGTAGCACTACTTCAGCGTATTTTACTCAAATAAACGTAAACAGTAGCCATTCAAGAAATTACTCAACTAACAGAAAAAAGTATTTGATAAAATGTCTACTCTAGTACTGAGTAACTGATTAAATTATTCATCATTTCACATCTAAAAATTACATCATCAGACTGACCAAAATATAAAGTTAAGTTCAAATTACTGACAATAATTCTGACATGTAACAAAAATAACAAAACCAGGTGAAATAATTTAAGTTTCTTTCAATATAAAACTTATGAAACTGCAGGTGTGTGTCTGGTGAGTTTTTGGTTAAAACACTTTTGTTTTTAATTCTTTGGTTAAAAACAGAAATATTTCATAGTAAAATTACTCAAGTAAAAGTAAAAAGTGCAGCACAGGAAAAACTACTAAAAGTAAGATGCTTATATTTGTTTGTTTTTGTCAAAACCCCTTCAACTACACTAAACTACACGCCACATTAAAAAGAAAGTGTAACCTTTCAATGTTCGTCTCAGGTCCAGTAGGTTGACTTTCACCACAGACACGTTCAGGTTCACTGTGTTTATTTTAACAAGACAGTGTTTAACATCAGTCCAGCAGCTTCTGCCTCTATACATGCAATAAAATATAATAAATAACTCTAAACAAACTACAGGCTGATGGCGACTAATGAACAGTTAACAGCAGTTAAGTTGTAAGATTAAACATAGCTAAAAAGCACAACATTAATGATAACCACACTTAAAAATAAACACTTTTTAAGAAACTTCACAGCTATAACACTGTTAAAATAAAACTGTTTTATTAAGTTTTAATGTGTTAGACCAGTTGACTGCAAACTTTACATATTAAAGGGCCGTTTCTGCCCTCGGCCAAATAAAACTTGTTTAAAGCAACAAATGTTACATAACTTGTTTGTTACGTAGGTATTTATTTAAAATGTTTTAAAAATAAATACCTACTTTAGGTTATGCTTTTTGGCTAAAACCATCTTCTCCATTACTTTGCTTTTCTTGTAACAATATTTCAGATGATCTGTTTTTATTTACTCCGCTCATTTCCAGAGGGACGGATCCTTTCTCCAGATCAGCTCAAAGGCCAGCTAGAGTTCTCCGATGTCTCTTTTTCCTACCCGACACGGAAGGACGCTCCTATTTTCCAGAATCTGAACCTCGTGGTGCCAGCGGGAACCATCATGGCCGTGGTGGGGCCCAGTGGCTCGGGGAAGTCCTCCCTGGTGTCTCTGCTGCTCAGGCTGTATGACCCACATGCTGGTAAGAGTAAATAAATGTCCGTTTCTTTCCCTGCTCATCTTTCATGGTTGGCGACAAAGTATTAAGAATGATTTAGAGCGCTCAGTTAATCTAGCATTTATGTTTCTGGACTCTGGCGAAAATGTATGTTCATGAAGAAAATGCTAGAAAGACTCCAGGCTGGTTTTAAACTGATCCCACTAGGCAAAAGTGCAAACTACAGCTTTACTGGTCAGCTTAGGGTTGTGCGACATGACTAAAAATAAAAACTGATATATTTCATGCCAGATCAGATTGTTTTCTTATTAAAATGGGTTTTTTTTTTCGCTCTCTCTTTTTAGAAAGAAATTACAAATGACTTCTTTCAATCATCACTTCATTGAGCTGTACGAGAATTCTGGTGAAATTACGAGACTACAGTCATACTATTGGCACAGTAAAGATGTAATTTTACCAGAAAGAAACATCTGAATAAAAAAAAAAAAAAAACGCTTTTCAGACAAGATGGCAGACATTGAGCCTACAATCAAATCCATATTTTCCAAACATTAAATAATCACAATCCAAAAATTGGATTAATGGATAAAATCGATTTAGCAGCACTAGTGCAGCCTGTGAATGAATGTCTTCTGCCAAGTTAATGGACATTGCAGCGTCTTATGAAACGTCTCTCTTCTCCAGGTACCATTACCATAGACGGTCATGACATCAGGGATCTGAATCCCTACTGGCTCAGGAATCACATCGGGACTGTCAGCCAGGTAATTAAAGACCAGACTGGAAAGCAGCTTAAAGGACTCAGGCTTTACAGGAGAATACAGTAGTCACTGTGTTTTGTCTGTTCCAGGAGCCAGTTTTGTTTTCCTGCTCCATCAGAGATAACATTGCATACGGCGCCGTCGACCCAGACGCTGTGACTATTCAGGACATCCACAGCGCCGCCAGAGTGGCCAACGCCTATGACTTCATCCAGAGCTTTCCCAAAGGCTTTGACACACTGGTGGGGGAGAAAGGAGTGCTGCTGTCAGGTGAGGAACTGGAGCAGCAATAGGTTGGATTAAGAGCCACGCTTTAAAGGGGACCTATTACGCAAAATTCACATTTTGCACATTTTCTGTGCTTCCAGTTGGGTCTCAACTGCTTCTAAAAACAGACCAAGCGCTTAAAAAAACCATCCAGCCATTTTTGGCAATAAGTTAATAGTTTTTTTGGTGTCTGGAAAATGAGCCATTTCAAAACCTCCAGATTGTTGAAGGGGCAGTATTATGTATTTTCCAGCTGTATGGTGCCATTTTATAGCACAATCAAGTAACACTGCTGTCTTAAGTTGTTATAAAAATGGTATATATATCAAATATGACTTAAAAGGAATTTACGTTTGTAATTTAGCGCCTTGAAATTGGGCCACTGTCTCTTTAAAAACTCTTGATTTTGTGAAACTCCGCCTTGTTCAGGAAGTGATCACAAAATCGCTCCTCATTTAGCTCTTTAACGTTTTGCTAGCATTGCACTGAGAAGCGGCTCATATAATGGACTCAGCTGAATGGTTGCCACGGCAGATTAAAGTATTTGATCTCCATGCATTAATGGACGCATTAATGCATCAAGGCAACACTCCGGGTATGCTTTTGATCGATCAATCAATCAATCAAATTTTATTTGTATGGCACATTTCAGCAAAAAGGCATTTCAAAGTGCTTTACGTCATAAAAATAATGGAATAACATTATGACATGCTGGAAAGCTCAAAAAAGTCACTTTCACGTGATACCGCCCCTTTAAGCCACGTTCCATCGTTACCTAGCAACCCCAGCCTCGCACAGGCCTGTTACCTAGCAACCCCAGCCTGGCACAGGCCTGTTACCTAGCAACCCTGCGCGGAACTCCTGCATGTGTGATCGTCTGGTTTTGCCTCTGTATGCGCCGTACAAAGTCTTCTGGAAAAGAGAAGCGTAAATGAGTTTGGGGATTTTTTTGTGTGGAAATAACGGCGACATTAAAGCCGCCGCTGCTCGCATGCAGCTTTTACTCACCATTGATCTGTGTCTGGATGTCAGGTGGTCAGAAGCAGAGGATAGCCATCGCCAGAGCTCTGCTCAAGGTAACCACATGTTTTCTGTTGTTTTCAATGCATAAGATGTATATTTACCTCTTTATTTCTGTACATAATGAGGAGTAGAGGGGTAAGGAAGATTAAAGTAGGGTTACATCGAGAAACGGTACAAAAGTATCTAATGGGCATAAATTACAAATTGGTAGAGAAATTCTTCCTGAAAAACATGAATTTGTCATTTTAATGTTTCTTTTTTTCAGAACCCAAAGATCCTGCTGTTAGACGAGGCCACCAGGTTAGACTGACTGACTGAGTTTTTGCTTTCAGTGTTTTGACTGGTGGCTTTTAGCTTTTAGCCTTCTGAAAGCAAAATTATGTTCACAAAAACTTATAATTTCTTCTTTACTTCAGTGCTTTGGATGCTGAGAACGAGTTCCTTGTTCAGGAGGCTTTGGAGAGACTCATGGAAGGTAGACCATTCATTTAGTCGTTGCAACTATAAACACATGGTCACATGGTTAACCACACTGAGGACTGAAACAATTAATCGTGTTGAATTGGCTATTGAAATAATAAACTAATTTAGTAACTGCTTTTGTCATGAACTGGATATTCAGACTCTAAAACTTGCAATTTGCTGAAAGACCAACATACTCAGAGCAGTAATTAAGCCAAATTTGATTAATCCATTAAGCATCAGAATAATCAACAATTAATTGATTAATACAGTGCTTCTCAAATAGTGGGGCGGGCCCCCTTTGGGGGGCGCGGTGCGATACCTGGGGGGGCGTGTGATCCTGGGGAACAGGCTTTTTTTTGGCCGTACTAGTATAAAGTGTAATTGCGCACAGTAGGCGGCAGTGGCGCTCTCATTGTTACTTCTGTCACGTTTGCGACAGTGCAACATTTCATGACTTACAAGACAACAGGTTTGCCTTGGTTAGCAGTGTTAATTCAACAAAAAGCTCCGACTGCGTTCTGTCTATGGCCTCCGTTATTCAACAACCCCCAACATGAAAAAGTTTTTCACAGGGATGAAAAGAAAAGCGGAGAGAGACAAAGATAATGAGACAACAGAAAGTCAACCGAAAGCTAAGAAGAGGAAATACGACGAAGCGTATTTAGCGCTTGGCTTCACTGTGACTACAGTTGGAGAAGAGGAAAGACCGCTGTGTTTGCTGTGTCTAAAAATGCTCGCAGCGGACAGCATGAAGCCAAATAAATTAGCGCGTCACTTAAATACGTTACATCCCAATCACGCCGATAAGCCGCTAGAGTTTTTTCTGCGAAAAAAATGTTAATAAGGAAAAAATGTTATGCAGAGATGGATAGTCACGGTGGGGAATGGGGGGCGCGAATAGTTTTCTTCTTGCTAGGGGGGCGTAACGGAAAATAATTGAGAAGCACTGGATTAATATAATGATTAGTAAGGTATTAACTTGAGAGATTAATTTAGAGAATAATCAATTATCAAAATATTGTAATAATTTTAGTCATTGATTGTCAGAATAACTGATTAATCGTCAGAGTAAGTGACTAATTGTAAGAATATACAAATACTATCAGAATAATTGATTAATCGTCAGAATAATTGATTATTCGTTAGACTAATTGATTAATCAATAACTAAAATAATCGTTAGATGCAGCCCTAATCCCTCTCTTGACGAACAGGGAGGACGGTGATGGTCATCGCTCACCGCCTGTCCACCATCAAGAACGCCGACTCCGTGGCCGTCCTGGACCAGCAGCGGGTGGCCGAGTGCGGCCAGCCCACGGAGCTGCTGGGAAACAGGCAGGGACTGTTCAGGAAGCTGATGGAGAAGCAGGCGTTCCTCCAGGAAGAACAGCAGCGAGCGCTTCTCTGAGGGGAGAATCAAATATGAATAGGCAGGTTGAGAGCAGATTTCCTGAGACTGGATCACATTTGGACTGAAGCCGGGATTCACTTATTCCTGGACTCTGATTTAATCTGAGTAAGAACTGAGGACAAACTTTTTACTCGTTGGACGTTTGATTTCTAAATCAAACCTTCCCACTTGCTATGAAACACTTTGTGTGATCACTTTATACAAATCAGCCAAAAACACTGCTAAATGTATATGTATGTATTGGTGTCTGTATATCTAATTATTTTAAAACTTGAAGCTTTTTACTGCTCTTTTCAGGGCCTAAATAAATACAAGCAGCTATTTGTGGTTTTTACACTGTACTGAAGACGTTATTGACCAATATGTGCTCATTTGTTTGGAAAAGTTTGGCCTATAAATTGTTTTCTTTGTAAAATTTTCTTTCTTCAACTTGAGTTACTGACATTTGGTTTGAAGTGGCTGCTATAAAGCTGCTCAACTTGACCGTTTTTCTGAAAGCGGGTCGAGTCTCCAAACCATCGTCAGAATCAGACGTTGTCGGACTTTAAGCTGCAGTATGTAACTTTTATAAAAAATATATTAACTTATTTGTTGAAACTGTCGCTATTTCACCAGTTTAATATGAGACAGATAATCTGTGAAAAAAATACCTGAGCTCGCTGCCTTCTCCCACTAGAAACAACCAATCAGAATCAGGAGGCGGGTCTTAGCGTTGTCAATCACCCTCTGTGTGGCGTTAGCATAGCCTGTCGGGAATGCTCAGGCTAGTCAGCATGACCATTGATGATGGCAGGTAAACAGCTTTCCTGCAGCAGTGAGTTGTTTATTTTCCATCACCACATTTACCAGCGATTACATGTGGGTGATTGACAGCACTAAAACCTGTCTTCTGCCTCTGATTGGCTGTTTTTGGTGGGGGAGCAGTGCATTTCTTCAGATAGCAATCGTAGCTCAGGGTGAGATCAACCTTTTTACAGATTATTTGACTTATTTTTATAAACTTTAGATTCTGCAGCTTGAAGGTTTTCTGTTGAAAATTGGAGAGTAGATGTATAACAACTGTATGTCTCTCAGAGATGTAAATATCTTTATAAACATGTCAAAAAACCACTGAACTGTTCACAGCAAGCTAAATATTACAGCTGGCAAAGAAATCCAGACTCATAAGGAATAATTCTCTTCATGAAACATTTAAAAAGTCTGGATTAAATCTCCTCTTTTTTGTAATATCTGACTTTTAAATGAAAACCTAATTTTAAGCACCAAACAACATTTTTACTCCTTCCCCCCATACGATTGTAGAACTACAAACATATAATGTCTAGTATATATATTAATTATTTACAAAAAAGAATAAAAAGATGTGCACCTTTGATACAAGTGCTGCCATCGCAGAACCGCTCTGGTCCTTTTAATATAAAAGTATTTTTTTAGTCTGAGTTCATAGGAGAGATTGACGTGGGGACTGAGAACAAATCCAGCGCTGAACTTTCACTAAATCTTCGTTTTGTGTCTGTTGGTTTGTGGTTTTGTAAATGTGTAGTCATTAAATATTTATTAATTTAAGTTTGTAGATTGTTTGGCTGCAGAAAATGAGTTCAGTTTATGTTTTTTGTTTATCATTTTGTGGTTTGTTTTACCCTGTTTCAATTTAAAAGTGTCTTGTTTTAGCCTCTATTCAGATTACAGTTTTCCATTGTTGTGTTTATTAATCATTTCACTTTATGTTTTTAGTTTCCTGTTTGATCTTTTTTGTGTTTGGTAAATGTTGAAAGAGAAGGAAATGAAATCGAGTTCATCTGATTCACTTCAGGTTGGATGAAATTATCAAATTGATTTATTTGTCAATGTAGGATGAATGTCAAATTTTAAAAATTTTAAAGGTTTTTAATATGAAGCTGTAGAAAAATAACCTAAATTTTATCCATATTTTATATAGTGTTATTTCTGAAAATAAATAAAGTGAAATATAAATTTTTTGTTCTTTGCTTTGCGTGTTTTATATTTGTTACCTTCCTTCTGCACTTTTAATTTCTATGAAACGAGAACAGAGAAACAAGAGAAGTTTGCGGAATTCCACAGATTACCGCCAGATGGCGCCACTTTCAGCTCGGAGCTGCTGGTTGAGATGAGAAGCACAAGGTGAACTGAGCTCTGAACAGACTGTTGACAAATCTGTATTATTATTATTATTATTTTCTAAATAATAATCTCTTGCACAGTAATTGTGAGGAAGAAGGACATAGTTTTTATAGTTTTTTAGATGTAAAGATCATAAATGAGAACAACTATCAGTAACTTAGTATATTTCTTAGCTTTTTCTTGTGGAGAAGTGGAAGGAATAAAGGAGTTTTCTGTTGACAACACATCATGGTGTTACGTCTCAGTGAACAAAGTGTCAGATGAAACTGAAAATGAACTTTCTGATTGAAAACCTCCTGGTTTTTCCACCAAATATTAATATTTCTGAACTCTTCCTGAGTCAAAAGATTGATATTGTTTCTAAATGAATATGAACTTTTTTTCTTTGCATTATTTGAGGTTTGAAAGCTTTGCGTGTGTTTTGTTATTTTACCCCTTTCTCATTTTCTCCAAATAAATGCTACATTTTTGCTTGTAATTTCAGAGACATGTTGTCAGTAGTTTGTAGAATAAAAGAACAAAGTTCGTTTCACTCAAACCTTTTTTACCCATAAAAACTAAAACCAGAGGAATTGATCATTTTAAGTGGTTTCCTAATTGTTCCAGAGCTGTATATAAATATAAACGCATCTCTATGGGTAAATTGACAGTTTCTGATTCTAAATTCATAAAATGAAAGCAGATTTTTAGCCTAATCCGAAAGTCATTAAGGCAAATTCCTGAAGATATTTTTGTCCAAGTCCCTCTGCAATATAAGTCAAAGATTTACACCTCAAAAAATTAATTTCTCTTGAAAAAGAAAAAAGGAAAGAAAATCAGAAGCGTCCACTGAGAACCGGTTTGATCTTTCTAATCTCTCCAGGGTCCGTCCAGAAACCTTCAGCCGACTTAAACCTGTGAGGACCTGAACAGGAAGTCAGAAACCAAACATGCTTTTTAGAAAAATCACTTTGCGTTAGCGATCCTGGAAATCTCTCCCCCGTCCTGCTTAAATCGACGTAAATCTGCTGCCCTCCGTCGCTCAGACTGAGCCCACGCTCTCCGCCACCTGCTGCACACACTCCTCCACCTTCCTCTGTCTCCACAGAGCGCCTCGCTCTCTTCCTCCCCCACTGTGGCCCCTGTGACCTCCGCCCTCCCCTCCGCCGTCACTCCTTCCCCGACAACTGCCAGCCCCTTTACATTTTAGGCGTTTCTCTGGCCCTCGGGTTCAGAATGGCTCACAACAAGTGCATAAAAGTAGCTCAGCGTGGCTCTCGCTCTGCAGCCTCTGAGCTCCCCCCACCCCCACGCGCAAACACATATTTCCTAATCCATGCAGTGCAAAGGAGGCCTCACCCGTTTAGCTCCCATCCACCAGCATTCAGAGAGTTTATCACCTCCTCCTGCTGCCGGGATTAGAAACCTTACACTGCAAAAACACAAAATATCGCCAAGTAACGGTAAATATCATTGCATACTTGAAATAACACAAAATTAGCCTATGAGTAGCTTCTCCTCAAGCTTAATTTAACTAAATAATTGTTGAATACAGATAAAATGCACTAGTTTCACTCGCAGTGAAACATTATTTCTGTTTAAGTGAGAAATTTGTTAGTGTAACTGATACTTTTAATATCTGAATCCAAGAATAACTGATTTAAAACAACCTGATTCATTATTTTTTGTCTTAATTCAAGTGTGCTGAAATATTTGCTCTAGAAACTTTTGGAAAACATGTTTTGTTTTGTTCTTCTGTCTGTGCTTCTTTGTCACACTTTGACTTTATGAATCAAAGTTAACATCAGACCAACCTGCTCTTCTTTAATCACAAATTAAGTTTGGTTGATCACTTTTCAAGAAAAAGTTAAGCTCAATTTCACGAGCCAGAAGCAGAACAGAACCCGTCTGACAGCATGAAGTAGGCTGAGAGATCTTAACGAAAGTCAGGAACATTCCTGCAAAGGATCACAGTGTCATTTACTTTGACTTAACTTGTATTAAAAGTTCTGATTTATTGTGTTTTTTATTTCAGTGGTACTTCCTGGTTACGAAGAGGTAAAATAACAATAAAAATCCACAAACGGAGAAAACACAGAGCGGTAATAAAACTTTCCGACCAAAATTACTCCAAGAGCCAATTGAGGCAATGTCCACTGAGTCCCAAAAGAGCAAAGGTCAAAGTTTAACTTGAATCTCCCCAAAGGTCAACATTTAGGGTTTAGTAATAGGAAAGAAACTGGGCATCACATCATAGAAAAACAATGCCTCATCTGATGTATACACACAAAAGTGCCTTGATTATCCCAAAGACTCATGGGAAATACTTTGTTGAGCTGATGAGACACCAGTGGAAACTTCTGGAAGGTTTGTTTTGTCAGCAGGAGATCAAGAGCTCAGGGGAGATGACATGAGCATCCCTGGATGGTAACACCAACGAGAATGAAGATTTTTCTGAGTGGTCTAGTCAAAGTATAACCCTAAACGTAAGTTAAACGCAAAGGCATACACAGTCCAAGAATTTTAAAAGTGAAGATCGACTGATGAGTCCAGTGTCTTCAGAGTTTCCAGCTGAGTTTCCCAAATAACATGCATCCTATGAATAATTTAGCAAAGGTTGAAACTGAGCTGATTTACATTCCTCTGGATTGTGTTGATGTGGATTAATGTGCACCGTCCTAATCAAATGATTAGGAATGATTTATTGTGTTGTCCTCATCAAATGACTGAAATTAAATTAAAATGAAACAATATTCCCATCCTGCTCCTCTCTGAACACTGAGCCATCGCACTTCAACACACAGTCTCCACATTTGTCTCTCTCTCTCACTCACACACACGCCACCTCCACCTCCACCAGCAGAGTTATAATTATTCCGGCTGCTGCTGCAGTGACAGAGCAGAGTACAGGCTCTGCAGGAGGATAAGGTTTCAGCCCACACTGAGCCATGTGCTCTGCAGAAAGAGTTAAAAAATGAATTCAGAGGATAAAATGCATGTGAATGCAGGTGGGATGTGTGTGATTCGCTTTGCAGAAGGAAATCAATGCATGGTGAGTGAGTGGGGAAGCTTGGATTGTCTTATAAAGCCTGACGGAGTTTAATTCGTTGCATTTCATAATTAGAAACGTAAGAAACCCCTACAGGTTTCCATCCAGTTGCTTTCCATGAATCCATCGGCCTCAGCCGGACCGTCCCGGCTCTGCGCTCTGCGGCCTAAATCGGTTCACATGAGGGAAGCGTCTTTCCCATTTTAAGGCCGGATGAGGCCAACTAGCAGCAAATCTATAACCCTGCTTGGCAGCAACTGGCATCTCCCATAGAAACCCCCCGGCGGCCCGCGGCGGCTCCTTATACGGCCGTCTAGGTGGGTCCGCGGGGCTCGAAGGGAGGTCAGAGCGACAGGCCCATACATGGAGCGCCCGCTCTGCTCGCTGGGGGCGCACAGCGTCACTCTGGACCCCCATCAATGAGAGCCACCCCCACCAGAACCCCTCTGCCCCCGCGAACACACCTACCCACCCACTCCCGCCGCCGGTGCCGGGCAGCATCCTAATATGGCCGAGGGCCGGGATGGGGGCCAGTGCTGAGCTTTGTGAATGGCGGACGGCCGGTATAAAAGGCGGACGGGCAGCGGCCAGGACTCCAGCTGGTTCAGCAGCAGCACTGGTTGGGTCGTTCTCTCCGAGCCGCAGACAAACACCTAAGGTAAGACTCCTGCGAGGATCGGCCGCCTTCCGAAGCTTCTCGTCCCGGTTGGAGCCACAGACTGTAGGCCTTAGAGAACCGGCGGAGCGTCCGGGGAAGATGTAGGACCAGATAGTTTGTAAAAATACACACGGCGAGGAGGAAATAGTTACAGTCTACGAATCTGAAACTGTAAGATAAATAATTGGCACTGATTAAGCGCAAAATTACTGTTGGCCTCACCTGTTTCCTCGCTGCATTTGCCTTTAATGTTGAGGGAAAAAATGAAGCCAAAATCAAAAATGTGGCCTTATTTTTGGCCAAGTTTTGATTTAAAAATTCCTCCAAATAATTTTTAAATCAAAACACACAACGTACTTTGTTGTATGTTTCCTCAGACAGGGAACAGGTAAGCCAATTTTTGATTTAAAAGTCCTCGAAATTAAAGGTAAAATAGCAAAAAAAAATATGTCCATTTACATAATAAAATATACATAATTATTTTTTTCTAAAATCAAAATGTCAAATTTACAATTCAGCTTTTGTTCATTAAATCCAATCACATTGTGTTTTAACTTTCCATGTTATAAATGGCATCAAGCTCCCAATTCTCGTGATTCTTAGAGTCATTTTTAATCATTTAGTTTTAAATCGTTTTAATCTGGAGGAAAACTGCGGCTTCCTTAAAGGCTGCGTGCGGATTTAGTCCACATATTCCCGCACGGCGAGGCGGCTCGGTGCGCTCTGATCTCCCCGTTTCTCTCCTGGTGACAGAAGCCAACATGTGTGACGACGAAGAGACTACCGCCCTTGTGTGCGACAACGGCTCCGGCCTGGTGAAGGCTGGCTTCGCCGGAGACGACGCCCCCAGGGCCGTGTTCCCCTCCATCGTTGGCCGCCCCCGTCACCAGGTAACCAACGAAGAAGAAAACCCTCCAATTCATTAGACTTTCATACAAACTAGTAGTAGCAAATGTGACACCTGAGACTGTGTCACTTTACATGAAAAGCGGAGATATCAGTAAATATTTGAGTGCATCATGTTTAAGTTGAGTTTCTCAGTCACTGAGACTTAATTTGTCACTTGTGCCGTCTTCGTGACGCGCGCCGTTGTTTGGCACATTTACGCAATGCGAAGCCAGTCTGGGTGCACAAAGGTCGTTTCTCTGCGCGTAGCCCCATGGATAACCTTCTCCCTCCCTCCTCCTCCAGGGTGTCATGGTCGGTATGGGTCAGAAGGACTCCTACGTCGGCGACGAGGCCCAGAGCAAGAGGGGTATCCTGACTCTGAAGTACCCCATCGAGCACGGCATCATCACCAACTGGGACGACATGGAGAAGATCTGGCACCACACCTTCTACAACGAGCTGAGAGTGGCCCCCGAGGAGCACCCAACCCTGCTCACTGAGGCCCCCCTGAACCCCAAGGCCAACAGGGAGAAGATGACCCAGATCATGTTTGAGACCTTCAACGTCCCCGCCATGTATGTGGCCATCCAGGCTGTGCTGTCCCTGTACGCTTCCGGCCGTACCACTGGTGAGAACCACGACTAAAAGCAAAGACCCACACAAATTACCTGAAGAGTTTTCAGACCGGAAAACTTCACGCGCAACATTTCTTGGCATTTTTACGCACATACTTTAGTTACATCACGATTAATAGTGTTAAGATTCTTTTCGGGATTTTTCCCGCAGCGACTTCTCAAAGATCCATTCAATTTACCTGGATTTTTTTTCCAAATTGGATAACTTTACGCACCTTTCTTTGAATATTTATGAACATACTTTAGTCGCATCCCGTCACATCGTCTTTAATTGTTTTAATATTATTTTTTAAGTCTCATCTTTTTTGCAACAACTCAGAAGCGATTCACAAAGATCCATTTAATTTATCTGGATGTTTTTCCAAATTGGATGACTTTACGCACATTTCCTTGAATATTTACGCACAGACTTTAGTCGCATCCTTTCTGTAATTTTAAGATTTTTTTCAGATCACTGGGGATTTTCTCCGCTGCGATTCCTCGAAAAGATACTCACAATTTTCCTGAATATTTTTCAGGTTGGATAACATTACGCGCAACATTTATTTGAATATTTACGCACTGACATTAGTCGCAACACGTCACATTATATTTAATAGTTTTAAGATATTTTTAGGATCATTCGAGACTTTCTCCGCTGCAACTCCTCACAAAGATACACACAAATTACCTGAGTATTTTTTTCCAGATTAGCCCGTTTACGCACAGCCTTGACGTACAGAATTTCTTTTAAAATTTATGTACATACCGTCACATCGTGTTACGTAGTTTTGAGAAGTTTTTTTTTTTGTGTGTGTTGTTTTTTTTACTCCAGCTTTACGAAACTCACCCTCTTGTCTCCTCTCAGGTATCGTGCTGGATGCTGGTGATGGTGTGACCCACAACGTCCCAGTCTATGAGGGTTACGCCCTGCCCCACGCCATCATGCGTCTGGACCTGGCTGGTCGCGATCTGACCGACTACCTGATGAAGATCCTGACTGAGCGTGGCTACTCCTTCGTGACCACCGGTGAGGGACTCGCTTTTAGCGCACGACTATTGACAGCCGCCACTCCTTTGCTCTCTGAATTAACAACTCATGGATCTTCCTCCCTGCAGCTGAGCGTGAAATCGTGCGCGACATCAAGGAGAAGTTGTGCTACGTGGCCCTGGACTTCGAGAACGAGATGGCCACCGCCGCCTCCTCCTCCTCTCTGGAGAAGAGCTACGAGCTTCCCGACGGTCAGGTCATCACCATCGGTAACGAGAGGTTCCGTTGCCCCGAGACCCTCTTCCAGCCTTCCTTCATCGGTACTCCAGATATTCTTCTTCTTTTTGGTCTTAAAATGGCAACCACGACTCCACGCTAGTCCTCCTAACACTTGCGCTCTCACCCGACCAGGAATGGAGTCTGCTGGCATCCACGAGACTGCCTACAACAGCATCATGAAGTGCGACATTGACATCCGTAAGGATCTGTACGCCAACAATGTGCTCTCCGGCGGTACCACCATGTACCCTGGTATTGCTGACCGTATGCAGAAGGAGATCACTGCCCTGGCCCCCAGCACCATGAAGATCAAGGTAAACAACAAACCGCACATTTTTTACGCACACATTCCAGCTTCTTGACTGATTCTCACCAAACTCCCTTCCTCTCTCCAGATCATCGCTCCTCCTGAGAGGAAGTACTCCGTCTGGATCGGTGGCTCCATCCTGGCTTCCCTGTCCACCTTCCAGCAGATGTGGATCTCCAAGCAGGAGTACGACGAGGCCGGCCCCAGCATTGTCCACAGGAAGTGCTTCTAAATCCTCCATCTTCTTCTTCTCCGCCACCACCGGCAGCCCGGAGAACGAGCGAGGAGGAAGGAAGAGCTCTGCGGCACAGCAACACTCTGCTGCTGTCAACGGACCGGCTGTCTGCGCCGTTGACATCCACATGCAATTTATATTGGTTTAAAATCTGCATATTTCAAAGCTGTTTGTTGTCTGTGTTGCACGGAGAAAGGCTGTGAAAACAACCACTGAACCATGCATACACCAAAAAAACTTTAATAAAAAAAAAAGAAATAACAACGACATGTTGCCCAACACATGTGAATGTAAGTGTATATACATATTGATAATTTATTAAAGTCCATTATTTGGTATTTTTGCCCCTGGCCTTGGTTTTCTCTTAAAGGGGAGGGTGGAAAAGTGCAGGAAAAGCGAATCAAAGCTCCGGGTTTCCTTTAACAGCGACCTAAAATTAAACCAAGAGCTGAACAGCATTTTGTGAGACTGACATGAAAAGATAATGTGACTTCTCCTTTTTTAAAAAGAAATCTTGAGCTTAAATTCAGTTTTTAACACGCAAAACATATCATAAAATGTTTAATGCTGTGACATAAATTGTCAGTTCCTTCTCTCAAAAACAGAGTTTTAGAGGTCAAAAGCTCACTTTCTCTTTTTTTTTCCTCTGATATATTTGTAAATTAGATTTTCCTTCCTGTGGTGGAAGTGAGTTTTATCAGGACCTGAGAGAATCAAACATCAATCTGATCAATAACTAATTAATCGATTCCTCCACATTGAGCACAAAAATAACGACATTGGCGACATGCAGCATAAAACATGAAAAAGTATTTCAATAAAATCCATTACTGACTTCAACTCTCACCACAGCCAACATCAGTGAATTTGATGAATGTTTATTTATTTTATTACATTTTATGTGTTGTTTTTGAATGTTTATATTGATTATTGCCTGAACTTTGCAACGTCAAAAATTAGTATTTTTGTTGATGAATTACGAGTATTCTCAATTTTAACCTCATATAAATAAGAAATTATTCATTTTTTCCCCCTCAAAAATAACAATATCTGATGTCCCCATAAGTGTCAAAATTGCAAATTGAATTTTTTAAAATATATATTTCAATATTAGCACTTAGTGCTGGAAAATATTAAGAGACAATTTTTAATTATGAATTTCTCTTATTCTACTCTTTATAGCTATACGTTTGAGTAAAATAAATTGTGAACGACTGACAACGTGTCTCTGAAATTCAAAGCAAAAATTCCGTTTTTAGTTGCAGAAATTGAGAAATGGTGAAATTTAAAGTGACGCAGAGCTTTCAGACCTGAAATACAAATAAAACGAGTGAATGTTCATTTAGAAACAACAGCACTGATGTTTTAACTCAGGAAGAGTTCAGAGGTCAATATTTGGTGGGATAGACCAGAAGGTTTTCAATGGGGCTCAGTGCAGTTTATTCCAGAGCTGCACATTTTTACATTTCTTCATGAATGTCAGACAAAAACATTCATAAAAAGCAAGAACAATTTGAGATACGACTGCCAAACATATGCAAGAAAAAAAAAAAGTAGAGTCGATGACTTAAGTTGTGAACTCCACCTGTCGGATGGAGAGACGGATGTGTGGGATGAAGGCGCGTCACGTCATCCTCAGTTCTGATTGGCGGACCTTTCGGCCACAGAAGCCGAAAGGTCCGCCTTCAACGCGCACATTCAGAATAGCACTTGGCAGGAATGCGCAAAGGCAACAGGCGCAACAGGAGCGGCTCTGCTGTTACAGCTGACCCGGATCAGTAGCGCTGGGACACCGGACACCCGCTCCGGAATCCCGTTGAGCTGCCACATGCGCCGCCCTGGCCCCCGGACCATTTTTAGTCGAAAGCATACTGTGTTCAGGGGGACCCTCTCCGCGAGCTCTGCCTTATATGAATATGAGCTCAGCAGGTAATCCGAGAGGCGCTCAGTATCCAGAAAATTACTCAAGCAGGAGAAGCTTAAAAATGACCCGCAGCAAAATGTAAAGTTAGGAGGGAATCTGGGTGTTTTAAAGATCAAAATGATTCATGTAAATAACATACTTACAAAAAAAAGCAACAAAATCAATCATTTTTTTCAATTTTGAACTTCTAAAAATGTAAACAAAAACTGCAGGCGTGTGTCTGTATCATGCTGAATGTTTGGTTAAAACGTTTTTTCATTCAGTGGGAGGACAATACAGACATTTCACTCCAGTAAGAGGACAAATACTTCACAATAAAATTACTCGAGTAAAAGTAAAATTAAAAATAAAAAAAAAACTACAGCTTAGGAAAAGTAGGCCTACTCCTAAAAGTAAATTTTATCCAAGTAAATGTAACTCATCTCTGACAGATGCAGCTTGTTTAAAATACTTTCTCAAACTCTCAGGAGACAAAAACAGAGGGAATAAAGGCAACATTATTATTCAGAGCATCAGCCATAAAACACTTAAATATTTCACGATCAAACGGACTAAACTGTGCAGGGACGCAGCACCTGTTCGGGGGTGAGTTTGGCTTTTTAAAAGCGTCCTCTCCGGTGGGCGGAGCTAAACCCTGTGTCGTCACTGCAGAGCCATCTGCTCTGGGCCGCTTCCGTGACATCCGAGCTCTCGGTAAGTATGCGTACTGTATATAAAATTAGATCTGTGCGGGCGAGAGTCGCTGCCGTCGAGCGGGTCAACTGTTGTGGACTGGACTGGAGTGTTTGGTGGATTTACTGAGCTGGTACCGGAGCCGACAGGCGATTACAGCGCTCCATGGAGCCATGATTAATCTGTCGTGCAAACTGGACACTACAGCCATATATTTGTTATCAACATGCAGGCTATTTTAATGATGCATACTGTAAAAGGAGAACATAGACAGTGCATTGAGCCAATGAGTGCCGTGTGGAAAACATGTTTAATGGTTCCTGGTGGATGTGTTAAAAATAGTCGCTCTATGCAGGATTTCTCTTAAACTCTGGTCGTTTCGTACCCGAGCTGGTCAACTGAGTCGACACTTGCATGTAAAGTCAAGCCAGCTCTCTCTTAAAGATTATCATCAACGCGCATATATGGTGCATTACGGTAATAGGTCAGTAAGGGCCTTTGTAGGAGATAAAAATAGGAATGAAGCATAACTATAAAAAATGCATGACATCCACACATACTTCCACATTCTTTGTACAGAAAGAATACTTGATCATTTTATTGCACATTTTTGGAGCTAAACTTGGTCAACGAACCTCATGAGGCCACTTTTACCTCATCGTCGTGAATTTATGTCTTCCAAACCTTCAGAGGTGACAGCAAAAGTTCTTGGCAGGTAGTTATGTCAGACAGACTCCTCTTGGGAATCTATTAAATGAAAATCTGTATCCAGAATAGATGTGTTGCAATCTTACTGTACTCTATGGAGATCGGTTTGTTATCAATTATCCAAGTAACCTTTGCATGTCAATGCTTACAAATAAGAAAATATATTCTGTGGTAATAATCTAACACAGTCTACCCACCTCTCAGAGAAAAACTGGGTTACAAATAGACACATTTACCCTTTTCTCTCTCTGTCTCTCCTTTTTGTTTGTTTTGAAAACCTGACTTATTTTTCTTGGCGCATAATAACAGCCACAGACTGCTACTGAACATTGTCGCCGTCAAGCTCCAAGCAGGAACTAATCGTTTCATGCAGATCCAGGGAGATGTGAGCTATGTGGTGTGGGAGGGTTAACATTACATTTTTTACTGCTAAAAACAATTTTAGAAAACACATTAATTTGTAATTGACAGGACTCCATTTTTTATATAAACCAAAAACAAAAAACAAAACAAAATAAATTGCGGAGGCCCCCTGTTGGTCAGGGGCCCTGGGAATTGTCATAACTTCCCCCTCATAAGACGCTCCTGCTTACGATGTCGAGTTCATTCTGTGCTGCCATTTTAAAAGTTTGAATATATATTTTAGACATTATTTTGACTATTAGTGTAAAATTTATTGTAAAGTATATAGAAATATTAAATATATATTTTTTAGAAACTGTTGTGCTTAATTTTACGATAACTGATTAAAATTATTCACCAGCCGTGACTGACAAATTGTTGCGTAAGTGTTTGTTTACCGTCACTAATTTGAAATGGAGCTGGTTGGGCGAATTACGGTAGCAAACCTCTTCAAATCTGTCGTGTAATCTTGGCAGCCAATCAGAGGGAGCGCTGAGAGTTACGTCACCGCGTTCAGGAACTTTCTGTTAGGCAGGTAGTTATGTCAGACAGACTCCTCGATGTTCTTGTAGCCAATATTTTTGACAGATTTAGAAAACACACGTTCACAGTTTCATTCGGACCGAACTCTGGTTCTGTTTTGGTTGCCCAAAAAGCGAGCTAAGAGCCCATTCGTTAGAAAGTAGGCGGGTCTTTGAGCGGCTTCCTGTGCTGCTATTGGTTAAAGCTGCTGTTGGTTTGGTTTAAATGTCTGGCGGTGGTAAACAATTAGCTTAAGGAGTTTCAGCTGTCACGACTCTCTTGTGACTGTTGCGATAGACTTATTGTGATAAAGTCTTTGGTTTATTTGTGCTCTATTTTTAGTTCAAACCGGGACAAGATGGTGACTAAACGGATCCGCTCAGAATACATGAAGAATTTCAAAGATCCCAAATGGGAGACTTACACCAAATGTTATGAAGAGATGCTGGCCTACAGGCTGACCCGGAGGCTGCTGGAGCACACACACAACCCCTGGTTCTGGACCGGCTCGGACAGCGACTCGGACTCAGGAGGAAGGAGCCCTCCTCGCCCCAGTAAGAACCAGGTTGAAGACCCTGAGGGGGTCAAGACGGACAGACAGCAGGAAACCAGAACCACCGGAGCTGGACCTAAACCTGGACCTAAACCTGGACCTGGACCTGGAGCTGGACATGCCGTCCAGAATGAGGAGCAGATCAGGCCTGACCCACAGTTGTCCGCACACAGTAAGCGTTACATTAAAAGAGTAATGTATCATCACACTGCCATGTTTGCGTGTTCTGGTGTGTGACATGACTCACTGTTTAGGTTCGCAGTGTGACGATACCAGGGAGTCCAACAAAGCAGTTCAGGGAGAGGAAGAGGAGTTCTCTGCTCCACTCCGAGACAAAGGTAAACTATCATCAAATATAATTTTAAAATACTGAGTACCTAAAGAATCACACAATTTAATTTAAGAGTAGCTTTACAACTTTATTATGTTCATATATAGTGTTCTATATTTTTAATATGGGTGCACCAATTTATCAGTGCAGTTTTCCCTTAGTTTTGGGAGATCAGTGATCGGCTATTACTTGCATGCATAGGTGCCGGAACCGAGGGACCTAACTCTGACAATCCATGACTGACTCGGCCAAACTAGTGGTGACCTTTACTGTTTGATTCTCAGTTTTCATTTTATGTTGTGGTTTATTATTATTATTATTTAGCTGTTATGAGAAAATTTAAACTGCTGCTGTGGCAGTTACTCAACAAGTTGTCGGTAGGTAACCAAAGAATGAGAGAGTTGATTCCACCAACCTTTAGTTTGAGCAGCTAAAGTCTTTCCTCAGCCTACATCTCCCAGAATGCCGTACAATTCTGGATCAAAATTCAATGAAATTATTGATAATTCTATCGAAAGGGTTGGTATTGATCATGTGTCCATTGTGATGTATACTGTTACCAATTTATTGTCCAGGTTAGGATTTGTAAAAGTTTTTCTTTTCATTTTCCAGAAAAAGAGATTAGAGCAGCCCGACCTCGCCGGAGAAAACCCTCCAAATTAACGAGACCAGCCTGGCGCTCCCAGCGCGTGAGGCCTGTACGGCAGCTCCAAGAGGACACAAAGGAGAAACGACATCCTTTCGCACTGTATGGCTCAGGAGAAAAGGATGCAGACATCGCAGATAGAAAGACTCACAATGTCGGTCCTGCAGCTTCTACTGCTGAGGTGACGTAAGGCCTGGTGTACCTGTCATTCTCTAAACGTAAACTTTAACCGTTCGTTTCACCGACAGATTCATGAATCGGCTCTGCGCGCCAAGACCAGGCGGCAGGTGGAGCGGCAGATCCAGTCCCGGCAACCTGAGCAGCGTCGGGCCAAATCAGCGGACCCAAATAAAACCGTGATGGCGGTTCAGCCCGAGTTCAACCCCTGGCTCACCGAGTACATGCGCTGTTTCTCCGCTCGCTCCCGATAGGACAGCGGCAGCACATCAGCACCAACAAAGCCATTCCTGCCTCTAGAAACAGCGGAAGTTCAGACACACGGCACATTTTACGGGCTCAGAGTCTCACTGCGACTTGTCTTCATGGAAAACTTCTCAAGCTCAGGGATTTTGTACAAGATGGAGGACAATCATGGAAAAAAAGGTTTTGATAATTTTAATATGAACTGAAGTTTTGTAACATAAAGACATTTGCTGTCACTTGAATTTGAAGGGCTGTGCATAATGGTCCATTCACACCGAATGCGTCACGACTATTTTAATGAAGTTTAATTCAGTAAATAATAACTTTTAATGAATGTTTTAATTGAACTTTGCATTAGAAATGTCATTATTTAAAAAAAATGAAGCTTTTTGACAACATTCAGTCTTATGCACGTCCCTTCAAATTACCAGACATTTTTAATTAGTGTTAGTAGTTGAATTTTACGGCCATACTTTGACGCAAATCCTTTAAGACGTCCAGTAAAAGAACGACTTTGTTATGGACATAATAATCTACAGGGGAGCGACTCCTGAGTAAAACAATGAGATGAAGATTCTTGTTCTTGAAGAGACTTTTGAACTTATATGAAGAAGAATTCAAAGTTGGCCAGATGTTTACATACTCATCGTTTTGTTAAGGTGGAATGATGGGGCAATATATATCAAGAATAAGGTGAGCAGGTTTTAATAAGTTTAGGATTTTAATTCTTATTCCCAAGAAGAGAGAAGGAGGACCAGCAGGGGGCGCTGCAGTCCCACAACTTGCAGACTGACGTCAAGGTGAGCAGTTCTTCATTAAAGCTACATAATTTAAAAATCATGTAGCTGATTAAAGCTAAAGTTTAATCAGTAACACTTTTGTAGCAAATTTATGTCAAATCATGATTTCTAGGTTAATGTCAAGTTGTCATAACGATTTTGAATAACGTCAACTTTGTATTAAAAGTGTCATGATGACATTTTATGACAACAGTCATGAATATTCATGAAGACTTACTCATGTTCATGACAGGTGTTATTATTCACAACCCCGCAAATAAATTACCAGAAAGTTTTTTTAAATCAGTGTTTTTCAGTAAAAAGACTGCAGGTGTTTTTGTCTTTGTTCTTCATTCACTGGGTAGAAAATCCAGAAATTTTACTCAAGTAAGAGTAAAAATACTTTGTGATATAGTTACTGAAGAAAAGTAGAAAGTACAGCATAGTAAAAATACTCCCAAAAGTACCTATTTTTTTTTATAAAGTAACTGAAGTAAATGTGACTAGTTACTATTAAACTGAATGTTACACATAACTTATCAAACCTCAGAAATCTTTCAACAGCTAAACTAACTTAACTTTAGCATCATGTCTGTGATGTTTCTGATTTGTAATAAAACCTGCAGAGCACCCAAATCTGCTTATTGTGGTTTAACTTGAATTATGATAAAATATAAACAGTTTGGATTTTGTTTTCCTGTTGCAAACCGTTCATTAATTTCACTTCTTTTCTCTCTCTCTGTTTCGCTCCAGGATTTTCTTAAAGCGTCAGAATTACATCTTGTATCGATGTTGGTCCTGGATGTGGTGAGAAAAGAGACAGAAAGTTAGAAAAGAGACAGAAAGTTTCCTCCGTCTGCCTGGAAGAGGCCCCTCAGCAGGAGAAATACCCAGAATGCATCAGGAACACCTGGTTTTATTACAAACGAGACTTGTACCTGCTTCCTTGAAATTTTTAAACATATCCTGTTGTCATTTGACCTTGAAGGGATTTTATTCTTTTTTTTCCACTCCTTTTGGGTTTTTTGTCTTCCTTCATCTGGATATTGTTCATAAATTAAAACTGCTGGTTTAACTTCAGGCAGATTTTGTCCTTTTTCTTTAAAATACACTGAAAGATTGTAAAACATTTTCTACTCGGTCAGCTAGGTGTTAATCAGGGTCACTGTAGATCTTCATCCACATGTTGACATTTTTTTTACCAGTAAAAAACAAAACAATCAGTGTAGTATGTGATGTACGGTCAGTTTAGATCCAGTCCAAAGGATAGCAGAGATTATAGTCTGAGATTTATGTCACCGAATGTTTTGAAGCCAAAAAGAAAACTAAACATGTAAATATTCATAGTTTCCTTTTGTTAATATGAAAAGTTAAAATTGTTTTAATATTTTGTATTTGTGGTTGCTGTTAACTTAAACTATTTACACTTAAGTATTTATATTCATAAATATAAACTACATTTTGCTTTTGATCAAATATTTTACAGAAGTTAAACACTAGAAATGGTGGGAAGACTGTTTTATTCTCTTTATTGTATCATCATGTTCATTATTGGTTTGTAATTATTCTGTGCAGAATTTCACTTTAAAACCAATCAGTTGATTTTCTATGTTCTCAGATAAGTACAAAGAAACAGGAAATGTTTATCGTTTAGGTTTCTAACACTTTCATGATGTTTTTCACATAATTTTACAAATATTTAAATGACAAAGATGAATGTCGGGTCAAGGGAGGCAAAACTTTTAGTGAAACATTTTTCTCGCACATTGCTGAGATTTTGATTGGAAGCATCAAAATATACCAACCTGTTCAAGTAATCACACTTTAAAAACGGGTAAGATTTTAAATCTGATCATTTTTACCCTTTTAAATCTTTAAACAACTTTAACCGAGCCTGTAATGAGCAAAGCGAAGGAAAGAAATGCTTTAGAAAACTTTTTTTTCCTGTTCAGGTTCATTTAATAAGAGTTTGATTTAAAAAAATATCAGCAATGAGTATTTATAAGAAAGAAGTGGAAGTGAGATTTATTACACAGAATTTAAACCCAAATTGATTATTTCTATTTGGCAAATAGAAACTACTAGAGGAACTTATTGGTACTTTAATCAGTATTTTTACTACAATTTTTTATTTTACTTTATTATAAAGTGAGTACTTTCACTGAATGATGAAAATGAAAAAAGTAATTTGGAAAATGTCTTCCTTTGCCTGATTGCATTTTGTAATCATGTTAATAATATGAATTATTTTCAGTTTGGTTTGTAAAATACAAAGCTTAATATTTTGGTCCAGTTAATGATATAATTATTAATTAATAAAGAATTGTTTTGATCAGTTATTGAGTTTCCTTTTTACCAAATACTTTTTCATTCTTGAGTAATTTCTTGGACGGCTACTTTTACTACTTTAAGTAGTTCTACTCTTACCTGAGTACAATCTTTGGATACTCTACTCACCTCTGCTTACAGCTTATGAAAACACTAAAAAATACAAATTTTGTGCAAAATTTGAATATCAAATAAAACCAACAAATAAACCATTTTTAATCCTAGAATTAATTGTTGTGACTCAGAAATAAGGGAAAAACTGTTGGCCTGAAAGCTTCCTGAGGAGGCTGAGCTGCTAAAAACGGTTTCTGTTTCCAAGGATATTTATAGAAAGCTTAGTGGAAGGAAAACATGTGGATCTCCCACTGAGCACCAGTGGGAAATTTTTAGTTTGTGATGATTTGATCATAAAAATAACCAAACATTATTGCTTGAAATAAATCTATCAGAATATACAAATTTCACTTTTTGAATTAAATTGCAGAGAAAAACTGAACTTTTAGATGATTTTTACATGAGAATCTAAAGGATTCAAACAAATAAAAATCATGTAGCTGATTAAAGCTAAAGTTTAATCAGTAAACTTTAGCTTTACTGATTAAAGCTAAAGTTTACTTAAATATTTAGACTGAGTTTGAGTCTAAATATTTAAGTTTTTCCTTCACTGAGAGCCGATGTGAAGCTGTAGAGAAATAAAAAAACCCAAAAACAAATATCCAGTGATGTATTTGCTATTTGTTTTATTTCAAAAACATATGCCAATTATCATAAACAATAAATTAAAAATCTGTGATATTCATGACAAAACAGACATACATGGAAACGAGAGAATCTGATGACAAAAACAAACAAAATGACCACATCCAGATGTGAAACGGCGAAAGCCGCCGTCGTATTTCAGAGTAAATCCCGAAAGGCTGCTTTAGTTTGAACCGTGATGGAAAAGTTTAGTTCTGTCGCTTATTATGGCTTTAATTAAGCTACTTAGGAAGAGGATAACTAAAGCAAAGTGACATGTTAGTCTTAAAAGATTGAAATAAATAAAGCACACAACAGATAAGATTCGGACTGCAGCTGTGATTGGTCAGCATCAGTCAGGTTTTCATGTAAACAAACAACAATTAGTGCCACTTCACTGGCTGCAGGACAAACGTGTTACACAACCGTTAAAATGGTGACCTGTCCTTCACACGCGGAGCACGAGGAGTCAGTGTTTTTAAATATACAGTGGAGCATGAAAATGATGCTGAATATGATTTCTAATGCAATACAGATGGAATATCAGCTATAATAAAATACTCCGTCTGGGAAAGCATGCGTCGGTCTCTATTTACAGAAACTCTGTACAGCGAAAAAAGCGAAATCAGGGAATTTAATGCGAGAAAGGCAGCAGGAAGGGAGGGAGTGTTAGCTTTAATGAGGGCAACGTTTAGTAGAGTGTTTAAACCAGAGAGGGAAACAAAGAGAGAACAGTTTGGTTTCCATGCCAAAGAGTCGAAGATAAAGTCGTCTGGTTTGCATTAATTCATCCAAGCTGGAGCAAAACGGCAACATATTTTACTAACAAATTACCAGTCAAATCCTGTTTAGTCAATAATGGAGTAAAGGTGGAGTCCAGACTGCGTCGGAGGGAACACAGTGTGACCGAGAGGAGAGAGACATGCAGACGTTTAGCATCCTTGGCGGGGATGGTGGGGGCCATTTTGGTCCAGTAAAGCAGCGGACTGCTGGGAAGATGGTCGATCTGAGGGAGGTGAGAGGGGCCAGAAGGACTTCTCAGCTCTCTGCACATGCAGAAATGAAAATAAAGACTCTGAAGGGTCCGTGCAAAGGTCATGGGAGGGGTCACCAGCCAGCAACCTGAACCCAACACTGTTAGGTCCTCCATGGCTCTTCTTCTTCTGGTCTTTATAAACCTGCCCCAAACAGAAACACTGGGTGAATAAGCAAACAATTTCAACCAACAATGCAATTTAAGAAACATAAAGGATGAATTATGAGGCAGTCATGGTTGAGAAATAATTTAGTGTTGAAACGATTAATCAAATATGAAGTAATCGTGAATGTATCATTGTATTCAAATCTCCAACTATCTAAAACATTATGATTATAAATGCTCTAATAAACATCTCAAAGTATGTGTAAATTTTGTTATAATAAATTAGAACTGAAGCGATTAATCAGATTAATCGATTGTCAACGTTATGGTCAGCTAATTCACTAATCGATTAATTGTTAACTAGAGTGTAGAGATCCCAAAAAAGGATATTTTACTGAGAGAATGAGAAATTCAGACTAGTAATTAAAACAAAACTGTATAAAAACTAAATATATTTTGCACTTAAGATAAAAAAACATTTTTCTGTCAATATTTTTATATTTTTCCTCAAGTGGCATTTCAACTGTTCAAATTCTTAAAGGCGGATGCATCCTGTGCCAAAACTAAATGCTGTGTTGTTGCATTTTAAGTGATAAAATATTTATTTTCTTATTTTAAAACAGAAATATTTGTTTATTTAATGTATTTTTAATATTGCATAAAATAGGTTAAATTAAAAAAAATATGCAGAATGTGTCAATTCTTTTTCAAACCGACGAATCGATTACTTGTCAAAATAACAGATATAAAGAAATAATTAAATGTAGCCATAATTACATTATTGCATCATTAAAACTGAACTCTTGTTTTAATCGAGGAGTAATTAGTGACTTTATGTATCGATTTCATTTGGAAACCTCTGGTTCTCTAAACTTTTTCACCTTCATGTAGTGAATTGCACGAAGTCCACTAGCAGCCACAGTCCTGGGAGCCCTGCGGCTGAGCGCGGCGCGGGGAGCGCAGCTGTCGCAACGCCGCGTCGCCGTACTGGATGCCCGAACCCATCCGCTCCGGATCCAACTCCCCTAGAGCCGGAGAGGAAACGTCAGACGGCCGAGAAGAACCGAGGTAAGTTGGTTTTACATAAAGAAGAAAGAATGAAGCACAAAGGTTGGTTAACTGCTAACAAAACGAGGCTATTTCAGCTGCTGGTAAAGTAACTTCCAGATGAATACTTGTAGACTGAAACATTTACTCAAGTAAAAGTAACCAAGAAATTGTTCAAGTAAGAGTGAAAAATTATTTGGTAAAAAGTCCACTGAAGTACTGAGTAACTGATCAAATTATCAGTCATTTAATTTTTAAAAATTACATCATCAGATGGAGAAAAATATAAAGTTAAGTGAGAAATGTTGGTATTTAATGAAGCAAAATGATCATTTATATAAGTTTAAAAAAATAACAAAATCAGACAAAAGAAAATTTTTCCAAATCTGAATTTTTCAATATGAAACTTTGGCAATAACTGCACATGTGTGTCTGATGAATTTTTATTGAAACATGTTTGTTCTTCATTCAGGGGACAGAAAATCCACTGAAATGTTATTGAAGTAGAAATACTTCATAATGAAGTTACTCAAGTAAAAGTAAAAAGTACAGACTAGGAAAAACACTTCCAAAAGTACTTTTATTCAAAAAGTTACTCGTATAAATGTAACAGAGTAAATGTAACTCGGCTGATATAATGTGTGTGGTCTGTGTCGGGGGAACGGGTCGGACTCCTACCGGACTCGATCTTGTTGAGGATTTTCCGAGCGCACTGGACGAAGGCCTCTTCCACGTTCTCCCCCGTTAGTGCGCTGGTCTCCAGGAACATCAGCTCTGAGACACAAACACTCACAGATTAGAGCCGCTGCTTTTCTGCACACAGCATGACGAGTGAGTCAAACATGATCTCCTCACACTCAGGTCCTCCAGCTGTAACACAAAACCATGGAGAGCAGGGCTGACCAAGCTGAGGCCCGGGGCCAGAAATGGCCCCCATATGCATTCAAGAATGACACAAATTTGTTCATTAAGCTTCTCATGTTTAATCAGCGCAACATTATTGCTGACATTAATTAATTAACTGTTATAAATATAGCAAGAGTTTTCACAGAAAGACACCCGAATCCTGCTGAGAATAAATTAGTTCAATCAAATCCCAAACAATTTGAAAACTGCACAACTTTCTTCTAATAGAACAAATGTGCAAAATTATTTTAAATGGTTGGATCTATGACGAATAACTTCCCTTTCCCATAAAACAAAAAAACAACAGAGTCTACTTTATTTGCTCGATTTTTAAAATTTTCTTTTCTTGTCAGTAATTTTGACTTGACAATTTTGGTCCTGAACATCTGGACGCCGCAGATGTTCAGCTGTTGACTCTATGATGCGTTTATGACGTTTTCCTGACGTGAAACACTTTGAACTGCAGCTCAACTTAAGACTTATTAATTGATCTATTGATTTCGGTCAGGAAGTATTTGGAGGAGTCAGCTCCTACCGTTTTCCTGAGCGAACCGCGACGCCTCCAGGAACGTGACCTCTCTGTCGGCGTCCAGGTCCTTCTTGTTCCCGCAGAGGATGATGACGATGTTTTGACTGGCCAGCATCCTGGCGTCGCTCAGCCACGTGGTCAAAGCGTTGTACGTTTCCCGACTGCAGAGACAGACATGAGTAAACAAACGGGAGAAGCTGCAGAAACGGCTCTCGGACTGGGTTTGGTCGGTTCTGGTACCTGGTGATGTCGTAGACGAGCAGCGCTCCTGCGGCTCCTCTGTAGTAACTTCTGGTCACAGACCTGACGGACGCAGACACACGGTCAGTAAGCAGGCGGTAACACAGAGATTAATGGAGATCTGGGTGAACAGTCACCAGTCAGAGGAAAACTAGATTCTGGGTATTGGATCACTTCAGAACGCTGCTGCTGCTGCCGGACCCAAAACAACACAACTCTTCACATCCGGAACAAACTGAAGTCAAAAATGAATAATCAGAAAGTTTAGAAATAATCCAGGATTAGTTCTGACTCTTAATATTGCTCAAATATTAAATGTCCTTTATTTTATATGAAACCCTGAAAATGACAACAACCTTAAAAAGAGGTTAATATGTCTGGAGTTATAGATTAATGACAGAATAGATTCATCTTTATTGATCCTCAAAGTCGTTTTCGTTTTGGGCCAAATCCAGACCCTGAATGCTCTTAAAGGGCCGGTTGCACCAGAATATAATGATAAATCTTGTTCAAACTGTTCAAATATCAATAAATTCTTAAAATTAAATATTATTGAACATCTTTTCAGTTCCTCCAGGACTTTGTGATTCTTTTTGTGATGTTTTTTACAGTAAAAATCAAAGTGTCTGCAGTACTAATTTGGAAATATTTGCATTTATTTACGATGGTTAATGTGACTTCTTATTAAACTCCCAATTATTAGCGCAAAAAGGTGCAGGGATTTGTTGATTTACTGTGAATTTGCACAATAATTCTCAAGAAACTGGAGGAGTTGATTGATAAAAACAGCATTAATTTGATGGATAACATAATATTTATGCACACTTAGTGTTTAGTCTAGAATCTAGAGTATAAAGCCTGTGGGCCCCAGGTGTGTCCTAAAGAAAATTGCTTACATTTTTAAGCTTCATAACCTTTTTGATCTCCTGAAGTCTAAAGAAAATTGTTTAAATTGTCAAAGTATTCAGGCTGTTTTTGTTATTGGTTGTCTACGGTAACATGTCGCTTTCTTCACTCCATCTCTGGTTCTGATTGGCTGATCAGCCGCTTGACGACTCCACTTCTGGAAACTCTGATTTCTGGTGAGTTTAAGGTTTGTGAAGGTGAAACAAAAACATTTTACCCAACCGGATTAAACTCAGGATGGATTTAAGACTAAAAACTTAAGATTAAAAAAAGTTGCATGTATTTAATTGTGCCAAACTCAGGTCCAAACCTAAAGCGAGGGACAAATGAACCTCCAAACACAAGTGACGAAGAGCAACATCATTTATCGTTTCAGACATTTTCAACTGCACGGTGTTATTTTTCTTCTTAAACGTTGTTTTCCAGATGTGTTGCTCACGGTCGTTACCGGTTGGTCTGATGTGATGAAGGCTGGAGGCTTAACCTCCGGGTCAACGATGTGATTCACCTGAAGCGTTCTTGTCCCGCCGTGTCCCAGATCTGCAGCTTGACCGTTTTGTTGACGACACTGATGATCTTTGAACCAAACTCCACACCAATAGTGTGGTTGGATTCATCCTTAACTGGAAGGAAAAGAACATGAAATAAATTTACATGCAGGTCCTGTTGTCATTAGTTAATAAACCTAAGAAATTGAACAAAACAGTTTGAAACCTGAAAACAGAGTAAACCGTAAGAGCAGCTAAACGCTTCCAGGTGTTTCTGACTTACATCTCTTCTCTATGAACTGGTGCAGCAGGCAGGATTTGCCTGTCCCAGCATTCCCAATCACCAGGAATTTAAAGAGGAAATCTGCAGATAGGAGATAGAAACAAAAAAACCTTAAGAAAATGTTTTTATATTCTGTAATGTTTTGCAGTTCAGAGTCCTGTTGCCTTGGAGCGAGAATGTTGGCCTGGGAAACAAAAAGAAAACAAAGAATCATCTGTTTGTCTGTCATGTTTGGTTTTACATTTCTTTAAATAGATTAAATAGGGAGATTAAACATAATAAACATTCAGTGTTAACCATACATTAATTACCGGTAACTCCATAGTACTTGAATTGAAAGGGACCTTAAACAGGTTCCTGAAAGTAACTTTATAAACATCAGCCATGTCAGCAATATTATGAGTAACTAATTCAATGCTCTAATTCGACATCTCATCTGGACTAAGAGTTCATTTGCTCTAATCCAGCAAACAGACTGCAGGTGTTTTGGAGTCTGGATCTTAACATCAACCCGTCTGTCTGGGTTTGCCTGAAGGTCCAGGAGGATCAGAGGAATCTCACATCAGATCTGTGACCTGATCTCCTTCAACCACCAGGCTCGCATCCAAAACCACAACAAACTGCTTTCGTTTCATTTGGGTTTGTCATTAACGTGTTCATCTTTGAAAGTGAAGTTTTCCCATTTCTGCCTGAAAGTTTTGCAGATATAACACAAAAAAAGTTTCACACTAGTTCCATCAGGATTTAGTTCGCCATTAAATACAAAATAAATGTGGATGAGCATTAACTGAATGAAAAACAGAAATAAAGCAACACAAAAAGAGGAGTCACAGATGTCCAAAGGCTCTATTATGTCATCCATCCAAATAGGACATTATTGTGTTTTTTGTCCACCTCTCAGCATGTCAGCCCTGAAAGGCCAGTTTGACCCATAAGAACCGCCACCATGAACTGAATGTTCTATTCACACTGACAGGGACTCGGTTAGCCTGGAAGCTATGTGTTTTCGTTGGGAAAAAGCCCTGTCGACACACCTGCCTCCCTTTCTCCTCCCTGCGGCTAAAGAAACGAGCTAACCGCGGCCCGTCCGGACGCCACGACGCCGCCCGCTTACCGTAAGACTCCGACATCGCCAGGGCGGCGGTTGGACAGCAAGCCGATGGCAGCGAAGGACGGCAGCTGGCAAATAAATCGCTAGCTAAGTAAAGAAATATAGTCCCGTCGAGGATTTCCGTGGATTCCAGCTGATTTTCCCTTCCGATTTCCCGTGCGTTGTTTCAAAATAAAAGCTTTTCTTGTGGCGAATCCATTACATTTTCCATGTGATGACTCAAAATGACCACCAGGTGGTGCTGTTGCTGCTCCGTGATTCAAACACTATTTGACGGTTGTTTCAGGGAAAACTGGGACATATTCACAAGTCCTTTTTGTTTAATTAGTTTATGAACACAATTGTTTATATAAAACTAATAAAGACTGTTAGTATGTTATGGTCTTACAATCATGAGGCAGACTGGAGGCTTGACACCCAACACAAAAATGAAACAGTGTTCATTGCTGAAGAAGTTTCATCAGAGAGCTTTATCAAGGCTTATTCATGGAAAGTTAAGTGAAGGGAAGAAAAACTTTGCAGAAAATGACCCTGCAAAATCACAGAATGTTATTTTTAGTCTAGTTTCTAATACACATACCTGAAAAAGGACAAAAGTAACTTACAAGTAATTTTAATATAAGAGCTAGTTTTTAGTAAGCAATTCCTTAATATTGATGAAAAACTACTAGTTTAGAGTGTCTCAATAAATACTTTCCTCACATTATAAGTGAAATAATCCACCAATGGAACAAGTATTTTTCACCAATATTAAGGAATTGCTGACTTTCAACAAACTCTTATATCTTGCAGAAAAGTTATTTATAAGTTAGTTTTATATAGGGACTTAGTTCTAGTGTACTTAGTACACTAGAAATAGTGTACTTATTTCTAGTGTACTAAGATATTTGCGCCAGAAATAAAGACAAAAATTCTTAAATGTTTTATTCCTGCTACTTGTGGCTGCACAAGTAGCAGGAATAACCATTGCTATTGGAATATGTTTTTCAATTATATTTTGATTAACTTGGATATATGTTTTAAAATACTTTCTAAAACAGTGCATCTGAATTCGTATATTTCCCTTTGGGATCAAAAAATATTGTTGAACAAAATAATTCCCGATTAATCCTCCGAGCCACCAGGGGTCACTGCTCTAACTTTGAAACTTGTCCCAACGCTTTATCGAAGAAGAAGAAACAGCCACGGCTACTGAGCTAGCTTAGCTACTTTCATTATTTTACTGAAATATGGCAGCTGTACTCCCCATCAGACCGCCATGCGATAGCAACCCCGCCACTCCAGGAGCACAATCACTAAAGGTGACATTTCTGCTTCGTTTAATGTCATAAATAAGTGAAATTTGAAATTCTGCGTTACCTCGATGTCAGCTAACGGCTAGCTCCTTATATCCCTATGGATGGTTGTATTGGCGACATTAGTGTCCCTCCTTTGTTTTCAAATGATAATTTTATATTCCCTGCTCACATTTGATGGTCATAAACAGTTACATGTCAGTGAACTTTTGCAAATAACAAACGGGACTTCAAATGTGTGTTTCAAGCTTAAACAGCACAACATACACAAAATGAATTTTCTTTAATAAGCAAATTATTTTAAGACTGTCATATACTACGGCACTCAGTGCTTGACAGTCTTGCATTGACTGATGATGTTTTACATTTTCTCTTTTATTACTGTCTTCCACTTCATTCAAATGAAACAAAAACTGTAATTAAAAACATTGAAAGGTCATATGCATAACATGATCTAATTGTTGTTATTTTAACAGTAAAGCAACAATTATTCGTACCACATATGGATTATTACAATTATAACCATCTTTATTTACTAGTGCTTGGGTTCCACACAATTAAATTTTATTTTTGTCTCAGACAAAAATTGTTGTGAAACTGAGAAACTGTCAATAAAAGAACTTTAAACTGTTGAAATGATGTGAATGTTTTCAGCAGTCTTGTAACTTTTCAAACTTTGGTAACCTGTTCATTAAATGAATAAACATTTGAATGAAACAAAAGTTTATTTAGGTCTGTCTGTCTTTGCCTGTTAAACATTTCTTAAGCATTTGTGATCTGAATTCTTGGTGTCATTAATAGTTTGTATTTTTGTTTTTGTCTGCAGGAAGATGTAATAGATGAGGTTTCCAATGATGGCAGTCAGCCTCCCAAAAGAAGAAGAATGGGTTCAGGAGACAGCTCCCGAAGCTGTGACACCTTCAGCCAAGAGCTTGGGTACACTGCACAGACAATAGCTATTGTCTTCATCTGACTTGACCTCACTTGTTGTTTTTACCTGCTTTTCTCTGTTCTTCCCTCTAAATTCACAAACCCCAACACAGAGCGACATATTTTCCAGCAGAGAACCTGACAGAATATAAGTGGCCACCTGATGACACAGGAGAGTATTACATGCTGCAGGAGCAGGTCAGCGAGTATCTGGGAGTGACGTCATTCAAGAGGAAGTATCCTGGTAAGAATTAGATTCTCGTGAAGTTTGAATCTCATTCCTCACTTGTAAGTTAACTGGGTAATCTTATTTTTTTAAAGACTTGATATTGATGAGAGAAGGAGTAAAATGTTATAAGCATCCAAAAATTATGCAGCAGTAGCACAACTTCAACATATTTTTACTCAAGTAAAAGCAAAAAGTAGCCGGCCAAGAAATTACTCACGTAAGAGTGAAAAAATATTTAACAAAAAGTCTGTTCAAGTATTGAGTAACTGTTCAAAACATCAATCTAATATTTAAAAGCTACATCATTACATAGACCAAATATAAAGTTATGTGGAAATGTGGAAACACCAAAATGCAAGAAAAATGCAGATTTTGTGATTATGTGTAATCACAAAATTCCAAAAAGTTACTCAAGTAAATATAAATAGTTTCTACGCAGCTATGCCCAACATGTGGTTATATTACAGAGAGAGGCTACCCTGAACTCATGTTCTTCCTGGTGTTAAATTAAACTTCTGTCATGCTGTGAAGAATTATTTCAAGCTGTTGATCTGAGTTAGTTTCCCTTTTCTCTTTTATCTCTGTGCAGATATGGAGAGGCGAGATTTGTCCCACAAAGAGAAGCTCTATCTTCGAGAACAAAACGTCATTACGGAGACACAGTGCACTCTGGGTACAAATTATAATCCTTAAATAATTTACAAAACAGTTGACGCATTTCCTGACACCAGTCTTTGCGATGCCTTCAGGTCTCACAGCCCTGCGAAGCGACGAAGTGATAGATCTGATGATAAAGGAGTATCCTTCCAAACATGCTGAGTATTCTGTCATACTGCAAGAAAGGGAGCGACAGAGAATAGCGAAAGAGTACTCTGTGAGCACAAACAGCAGAAACATCACGCAAGAAGTTTACTTTGACAAAGTGCTTCTTCATAATTGATTCCGTCTTGATGTGATGTATTTTACTGTAGCAAATGCAGCAGCAAAACCCTCAGAAGGTCGAGGCCAGCAAAGTTCCTGAGTACATAAAGGAGGCTGCGAAAAAAGCCGCAGAGTTTAACAGCAACTTCAACAGGGAGCGGATGGAAGAGAGGAGAGCTTATTTTGACCTTCAGACCCACGTAAGTCCGGTTTTATATTACTGGCAGGAATTACTGCACATTCTGGAGGCGTTTTTCCAGACTTGGTTAAGCATGGAAATAAAAAATGGAATATGAAAAAAAGTTAATTTCCATTTATTCATGCAATAAATCAAAGGTGATCAAAGTGAGGCCTGGTAGGGCTGGACAATAAATCAATAACAACATATATCGCGATAGACACGAAGCCTCCAGGCCTGGTTCTATGGCTGGGTTGATCTGTATCAATAGATAATACATCTGATAGAATATTCAATATAGAGAATATTCATTGAACTACAATCCAGAACCACATGGCATTCTGGGAGATGTAGGAAGAAGAAAGACTGGAGCCACTCAACCTCTCCTGGCCAGCTAAGCTAAGCTAAGCTAAGCTAAGCTAAGCTAGGCTGGTGGAATCAATTGACTCACTCATTCTATGGTTACCTAACAACAACCTGCTGGGTAACAAGCAGTTTCAACCTGGCTTGGCTAAACATAAAAAGTGATTTTAAATAAAGACTAACATATATTATGTTTTTATTGCTGAGAATAGATAAAATATTTTTTTCCGTTTTCGTCCATCGAGCCCAAAATAATAGGCAAACTGGATTCCTTACATTTAACAAGGAAAACATGAAAATACCAGATGAAGTTTTGGATCCATGGTGCCGCTCCTACAAAAATAAAACTGAACACTTTATTTGTTTGCTTAAAATAGTTCATGTTTAGGTTATTGTTGAGTAGTTTAAGAAAAATCACAATATTTTTGGTGATTTTAGTTTTGAAGATAATATTTTTCTGGCCTGGGAGTAACATTGAAGTGATGAAGTTTGGTCATCCTCAACCATGTCTGAGGATCTATGGTTGATATTTATATCCTCACAATTCCATAAATATATTTAAGTATTCCAGTGTAGAAATTGGTGCCAAAGATTAAGACATCTGTAAGAACTAGTCGTACACCAATCAAATCAACCACGATTTCCTTAACTTTGGGGATCCAAAAAATGGAAATTGGACAAATTTGGAATCGGCACCTCCAAATTTGATTGTCCAGAAAACTGCAGTCTGTGCACTCTTAGTAAAAACCTTCAGTTGAGTGTTAAATGAACACATATAACTTTGTTTTAAGATCAGTTTCTGAATGTATGTCTTTATGTTTCCAGGTTATCCAGGTACCACAGGGCAGATTCAAGGTACTTGCACCAGAGTTAACCAAAACCGGGCCTTACCCTGTGGCTCTCATCCCAGGACAGTTCCAAGATTACTACAAAAGGTACATTTAGCTCGAAAGAACAACATCCATGTTCTTTTTTACTTGTTTGTAGAGTAACCGCGTACCGTAAGGTGAACACGACACCCTAGCCATTCTAAAAAATTTTTGTTTTATCATCATTTTCCCTCCCGATGTATCGTTGTTTTCTTCCTGTCAGGTATTCGCCCAATGAGTTGCGCTATTTGCCGCTGAACACCGCTCTGTATGAGCCTCCACTGGATCCAGAGCTTCCTGCTCCAGATTCAGAGCCCGACTCGGACGATGCAGATGAGGCCAAGGACGACAAGAACAACAAGAATTCATCAGTAAGCCAATAGCTTATTGATGGAGACGTAGAAATGTATGATCTCTGCCTAATGTGGTTAAAACAGGGTGTCTATTCTATTCTATTCTATTCTCACCAACTTATCTTTTTCAGCAGTTTCTGCCCCTACACATTAAATAAGATATAATAAATAACCCTAAACAAACTCCATATTTGGTCAGCTAACTGTTGTTACCAACTCAGTGACTTTCTTGGTGTATTTATTGACATTTCAGGCAGAAAACATAGAAAAGGTCAGAAAACTGCATTCGGTGCATCCCTACTTAGCAGCAGTTCTGTGCTATCTTTATGCCACCTCCCAACGTTTTCTTTCATGAAGGATAACTTTCTGGCTTGTTTTCTTAAATTTGTTACCGCCTGTTTCTCCTTAGGACAGCTCATCAGGAAACACCTCAGACGTGGAGAGCCAGGAGGGCGGAGGAGGACATCATCATAAGTCCAAAGCCAAAGATAGGACGTCAACGCCAGGAAAAGACCAGCGCCACTCCCACAAAGCCACTCCAGGGTACAAGGTAGAGGACAAATCCACCTGAAAACTCTTCTCCAACAACAGCAGCAGCACTTTCTGCCCCTCTCCTCTTTCTACTGTCACCACCTCCTTACTCCATCCATTTCTGACCCCCTACCTAGCTCTCTTCAGCATCTACAGTTGGTCAGCCTGTCTCCCAGCTGGAATGTCCTGGTCCACCTCGCCTCACACACACAGTCACACACCAGGGGGTCCTGACCTTTGACTTTTTTTGGTTTTACGATTGACCCCCTCCACACCCTGATCCCCCGCCCGCTTTTTTTTAACCCAACTGTGAGCAATAAGAACATTTTAAAGGAACAGTTCACGTTTCTTTTTCACTGCACTTTTACTTTTTTCTTCAGTGAAGACAAATTTGAACTTTTTTTTCCTTCTGATTGCCCTTAATATACCTCTTATCTGTCCTCACTTGTCAAAAAAAAATTTTAAGACAAGTATGTGGATTTTTTGGCTGCTAATTTTCTCTTCTTGAAAAAGAAACTTTGTTAAAGATATAAGAAAAAAATAAGCCGCATACATTTTGTGGTGGTTTTATAAAGTATATCACTGTAGATAATATTATCGTCTGTCTCTGAAGTGTGCCATGCACACTAATCCTTACTGATTAAATGAAACCCCGACTACCACGACCTGCAGGCTTATTATTATTTCATATTTGGTAAAATCATATTCAATAAATCAGTGATATATTATTTTAAACCACAATCTTAGAAATACTTCACTTTTAAAATGCATTATGGCTTGAAAACAAGGTAAAATCCCACTAAATGGTTATTGAATCAGAATGGAGCGAGCTTTTTCCTGCAGATAGATGTATTATTTACTGATTGATTCCATGTTCTGTTATTTATTGATTTCAAGAAGCAGTGAGAATTTCTACTTAAAAGAAACAAAACCGACTTCAGAAATGTGCAGATCCGTGTTTTTTATGGCCTCAAGTTGCATCGCCAACCAAGTCCTTGCATTATAGAAGTCTGTTAATAATTTGTGTTTTCCAATAAAGTGAAACAATAAATTTACAATGTAATTACAAATGCAATTTAGTGATCAGAAATGTACGTCGACATCAACAAATTAAGATTTTGTGTTTTTGCGGTGATGCTAGCCCTGGTTTAGCCTAATCCACCTGATCCATTTGAACTCTGCCACAGCTTTTAACCTGAGAAGTCCAAAAAAACAAAACGACTCCAGTGCAGTTTTAATTTAAATGATCTGCTAATAGTTACAGTCTGTAGCATCCCAGTCCTCAATATGATGGCGTAAAGAGTAGCTTCATTTAATTGTGTTGAGAATCAGACGGCACAAACTCAACCTGAATTATAAGGTAGATGTTTCCCCATGAGGTCAAATCATAAAGCTTTTCACTTCAAGCTGGATAACGCAATACAAAAAACAGAAATATGGAATAAAATTATTATTTAGTTTTCAAAGAAATATATTTTAAGTCGTTTAATTTCTGCCTAAGTCCATTGTTAATCCAATAAGCCATAAAAGTCGTACTAGTCGGAGTTACGTTTAACTGCATTAGCAGCATAGCACACTTTCTTTCTAGACTGTTAATGAGTGTGAGACAGCGGCTCGGTTTGGACGTTATTTGTCCTGTTGAAGTGTTTCTGACCGTTTTCACACTGTCGCTGAGCTGAGCTGCAGTTGCTGATTGACAGAGCCAAAAAAAAGTGCTTCTCCTTTTCCAACACCCATAAATGCAACATCTTTGGTCGAGCTTAGGTGACGTGTTCCCTTGCAGGTCATTGTGTTTTATTTTTTTATATTAAACGAAAAGAGAACATGTCAAATGTGTGGATAAATCAGCTGTTAGGTGGGTATGAAGGACCTGAATGTGTCCCTTTGACTTAAGCTCAGCTTTGTAGTGTGGGGATGGTCGTTTTCTGGCTGGTTGTTGCAGCATTCAGTGCGTCAAAGTTCCTCAAAGTAAGGTCACTACAACACAATCCTTTTCCTCTTATAGGGAGGTAGATGTAATAGTAGTATTATTTCTATATTTTAAGACTACATAGTGTTTTAAGAAGTAAATATATTTAGATTTTTTGTAACTCTGGTAGCGTTGACAAACGTACAAGAAGGTGGAGTTGGGTTATACCAGAGACATGTTCGTGTTGAAGAGTTTAAAATAATATTCTTACTCAAAATTGACTTTATTTTTCTTTCCGCTAGCAGTGTGCAGCAATACGTGGGGGAGAGGCTGCATACAACCAGTGAAAACTGGGCGGTTTTAAAGCCTTTGTTCACTTTGTTGCTGATTTCTCCCTGCTAATGACAGGAATCGGTTTGATAACGCTACAGCAGTTTTGTATAGATGTGAATTTAAATGTCTAAACTACGTCATAACTTTTCAACCAGCTGTGACACCAGCAGTATATCAATGTTTCTATATAACCAGTACAACTGTTCACTTGTTTGCCTCTGCAGCTGCATGTCAGAGCAACGTGGCTCTATCTAGAGAAATGACAGTTTTTAAAAAAGAAAAAAATAAGCATTTAGCGTTTTGAGAAAGTTGGTATTATTTCTTACGTGTGCATGGTATGCAATATTTCCTGTTCAAATCCAGTGAATTTAGAATAAAGGATATTTACACGAGCTGGATGCAGTTTCATGGATTGCTCCTTTTCCAGTTTCACTGCAAAAGATCTCCAGACAGTTTGGGTCAAACCGAGAATAGTCTGAGCTCTGAGTGGGATTTATTTTTATAATCATGAAGAATAGATTCATAAATACTTCATGACCTGCAGCTCTGGATAAAACTAAGAGTCCACTCTACTGAACCCCATTGAAAACCTCCTGGTTATTCCTCCAAATATTGATTTAAGTTAAAACATTGGTATGATTGTTTCTAAATGAATATCAACTTGTTTTATTTGCATTACTTGAGCTCTGAATGCTCTGCATCTTTTTTGTTATTTTGACCATTTCTCATTTTCAACAAAATTTTTTTTTTTTTTTGGAGACGTGTTGTCAGTAATTTATAGAATAAAAGAACAATGTTCATTTTACTAAAAACTAAAAACTAAATCAGAGAAACTGATCATTTTAAGCAAACTCTTAATTTTTTCCAGAGCTGTGTAAAAATGTATTTTATTATCTGTAGATGAATCCAGATAGACTGACTTAATGAACGTAATCACTTGAAATGAGAATAAGCAGAAAAATGTTAATTTATTTAATGTCTATTTATTTTATTTGGGATTGTTTTTGAATTTGAAAGATATTTATATTTTCTGTCTAATTCAAATTAATTTTTATTGATTCAAGTTTTTGGTTTTCACACTTTTTTCAGTTTTTCTTTAAAATTAAATCTAATCAGTTTATATTTATCTGATTAATGCCACATAATGTGCTGGTATAAATTATGCCTTGCAAAATCATGAATCTTTCCACATTTTATTACATTAAAATAAAAAAGAAATCATGTCATACAGAATTGATGTGATAGATCAGCACTAATTAATACATAATTGTGAAGACATATAATAGCTAATGCTCTATTTTGTTGTCATTTTCACTGTCATTCATTAATATGATATAAATTACCAATAAAATGCTTCAAGATTTATGGTGACGTGACAAAAAGTAGAAAAGTTCTCAGCGTTTTTCTTTTCCAAAGCAGTTTATAGTTCATGTTGTTTCACAATCCTCCATATTTGGAGTTTATTGTAACTTTTTAAAATAGTATTTTAATAACAAAGTGGTTTTTAATGATCTGTTAGCAGGTTTCTGAGGTGAAGAACAAAACGCATCTCAACGTTTCTGTTTCTGCTCAGAGTTTTCGTTTCTCCCTGGATAGTTTTGTTTCATTTGCTGCTTTTTTCTTGAGTGTTTTAAATGTTTCAACACTTCAAGTTGGAGCATGCAGGAGATTTAGCTAAAAGCTTTTTGAAAGTTGTCATTTTGGTACTGAAATACTTTTGTTTTAGAGCAAACTGTGCTTTCCTGTTTAGGTGCAAAGGTTTTAGAAATCTCACCCAGTTTTGCCAAGTTAACAACAAACTGCTTATTATTCATTTTAATTTTTTTTAGATAAGTTCTTAGTTTGTGTTTTGTGAGAATAAAAGCATTTAATTTGCTATGGTACTTAAATTTTTTGGGTTAAATTACTTTGGTGCATCAACATATTGTTAAAAAATGTAAATATAAAGAACTAGTTCACTTTGTTTCTTATTTCAGTGGAGGAAGACACTTGCTTTGGTGTTTGTGTGTGTATCACAATGTTTATACTAGATTATATTGATTTTAATTTCTGAAAAAAGGTGGAAAGCTTCTTGTTGCCTGCGAGATTATTAATGAATAAGTTTTGGGTTTTTTTGTGTTCTTTAAAAAGTAGGCTGCAAGTTTCACCAGAAGTTTTTCTTTTAGCATTTATGACAAAGATAATTTGTCACATCTGTAATTATCACTGATCATTTCTATATTATAACCAAAAGGAAATACAGATGTGGTCAGAGAGGAGTATCTCTAGAGTTAATTCAATTAATTGAGTCCTAAAATGAAATTTAATGCAGCAGGTGATTATATTTTAGAGTAGAAAAAAAAAGTTTTGTTTTTTTTTCCTCTTCTGCTGTATATCCATGACTACAAAATTCAAATGTTTGATTGGTTTTATAGCGTTATTCTGCCCTTGCAGCCTAAGGTCATTCCAAATGCTATTTGTGGCATTTGCCAGAAGGGTAAAGAGGCCAACAGGAGAGGCAGGCCGGAGGCTCTCATTCACTGCTCCCAGTGTGATAACAGCGGTGAGTCTGCAAGCTGCCATTTAACGCCACATTTCCTGCTCTTTGTTTTGTTACTCTGTTCTGCTATGACTTTGAAATTATTAGCTTTATGTGTTTATTTACAATACTCCACATGCTACTGTCCGAAATTCTAATTAGTTTCAATTCTTTTTCTATTTTAGTAGTACTCCTTGCCTGATACCAGGCTACAGTAGACATTTGTTTGACATTTTTTAGAATTAGACATTTTTGCTCAGCAGGAATTGTGACTTAAGAGTTGAAGGATATTTTGTGTTACAGTTGCAGTAAAAATTCAAATGAATATGCTCATTTAAAGGGGACATAATGTACAGATTCGTATTTTGTACATTTTTATATTTCCATTTGTATCTAAAATGCTTCTATAAACAGATCAAGTGCTTCATTAAGAATAAAAAAAAAAACTCCCAGCATTTTTTGATACAAGTTAATAATCTCTTTGGTGTTTGGAAAATGAGATGTTTAAAATAAACTCCAGAGTCACAAACAGCAGACACTCTGATATTACCTAGCAACCCCAGCTGAGCTCCAGCATGTTTGGTCAGCTGGTTTTATTGATGTACAATGGCTGCTGTAAAACACAAGTGTTATGTTGATGACGTCCCATCCAGAAACCATTTTCTGTATGCTTGTTGGTTGTGCAGGAGGCTCCACTTCTGCTTTTCAAACATGTACAGTTGTATAACAGTTTGCGGCCATTTTAAACGACTTAAAGGAACATTTAATTTTCCTTTGGGATAAATAGTGTCTTTGAATTATAATTTTAACGTGTGAATGTAAACATTGAGGATAAAAGGTCGTGCCCAGCAGTAGCTGATTTGGCTTTAAAGTGACATAAAACATCTCAGTTTGGATGGAGGACAATGAGATTAAAATCTCATTATCTAAGAATGATTGTTGTGTCCTAACCTGATTCAGGAAACATAATAAGTCACCTTTAAAACAGCAGAGCTGCAGCTTTAGCTAGATGTACAAGGGTCTGTTCACACACGTCTTTTTTCTGTTCTGTTTGCGTTTCTGTGTGTCCTCCACCGTTCTGCTTTACCCGTCTGTGTGTCTGTGAACCTCAGGCCATCCGTCCTGCTTGGACATGAGCCAGGAGCTGGTGAGCGTGATCCAGACGTACCGCTGGCAGTGCATGGAGTGTAAGACGTGCACCGTGTGCCGCCAGCCGCACCATGAGGACGAGATGATGTTCTGTGACAAGTGTGACCGCGGCTACCACACCTTCTGCGTGGGCATGGACGAAATACCTACAGGTGAGGACAAACGACTTCGTGTGTGTTGATGTTTTGCTTTTCTTCATCAGCTTAATTTGACTATCTTTGATAGTTGTTACATTAAGTTAAAATAAAATAGCTGCGTCAGATTAAATATAAATGTTTTACATAACCAGTACAACTGTTCACTGGTTTGCATCTGCAGCTGCATGTTAGAGCAACTATATCTAGAAAAATTAGAGTTCAAAAAAAGCATTTAGCGTTTTGAGAAAGCGGATATTATTTCTTACATGTGCCTGACATGCAATAGTTTCTGTTCAAATCCAGTGAATTTAGAATGAAGGACCTTTCGATGAGCTGAATTTCTCCTTTTCCAGTTTTACTCCACAGATTTCCAGATAGTTTGAGTTGGACAGAGAATAGTCTGAGTGCAAATGATTTATTTTCATAATTATGAAGAATTGACTCATAAAAAGATGTTTTTATTGTCACTAATAAACCTCAACCCTTGAAATGAGAGTAAGCAGGAAAATGTTTATTGAAAAATATTTAGATTTTCTTTTAGACTTTTGGTCGCTGTGTGAACTGAATGCAGAATTGTTGCCAGTCTTTTAAAAAAACCATTTAATTCAGAAATGGCAGAAGTTCATTATTTTAATCCATAAAGTGTAATAAATTCAGTTTACAATAAAAAACCCATGCTGTTCAAGGTTTCCCTGAGGCAGACATTCATCCAGCGGCCTGTTGTGTTTTTGAGTTAAAAAAACGTTTACATTTGACAACAAATTTGGAAATATCACACTAATCATGTGTTACTGAAAGATTAACACCTGAACACCAACTATAAAATCTTAAAAATGCAAACATTTTAAAAAGACTTAAAAAAGTAATGCTTTGCCTGGTGGGGGCACAACTAAAGCCTGGTGGGCTGCCAGGCTTATAAAGCACTGGGGGAAACCCTGCTGTTGGTCAGATTGCATCTCTTCAAATCACCCTACAGTTTGAGGGCCCAGTTCAAAATATTCATCTTCTGATAAAACTGTTTTTGTTGATTTGTTTGCATATAAATATGATTTTCTCTCCAACATTTATCAGCATATTGAATGTTTCATCATTTCCTCCACTTTCTCTAAGACTTTAGGTTCAGTTAAATTGAACAAAGAGGTTTTATGTTTGTGTTTTTCCAAAAGGTTTAAACATCCTACTGACTCGTCTCAGTTTTTTGATGATCCCTAAGGAATTTTACCGACTACGACATTTTTAATGCCATCATTCTCTTTTACCATTTTGTGCTTGTTTTTGGCTTTGTTTGTGCTCAACAATTCATCCTGTCTTCTCAGGTCTTTGGGTGTGTGAGGTTTGTGACAAAGATTTCACAACACCCAAAAAGAAAGGAGTAAAAACACAGAAGAAGTCTAAATCGGCTCAGAAATGACCAACGTAAAAATGTAGTTAATTTGTCCACAAATCCTCTGTCAACATTTCTGGACAATGTAAATTGTTTTTCTTAAATAAAGATTTGTTTGAACATTGTGTTCTTTAAAACGCTGTATTTAATTAAGAAAGCAAAATAAAAAATTAAATGAGCGCTTAACCTGCTGTTGGTTGGTAA